CCTAGACCTGCACTTTCCAGGTGGTTCTGCAGTTTAACTTGACAGAGTTTTCACCCTGTGCCAACATCTGCTAGCTGAGGTTGCGACAAAGCCCAACCAACCCACACTCACTCTGGTTTGTGTATGCACCAGTAGGAACAGTCAACCCAGCCTGGCTTTCCCCTTATCCAGCTCATATGAGGTCAACAGGTGTTGTAGCCCTGCCCATCCTGGTCTGCCCCCAATCCAGCTCTCATGCTCCTCCAGTGAGAATGGCAGTCCACCAGGGAAGCCCCACGCAGTCCCCTTGCCAGGCTCACCCCCTCTGCCCTGCGAGTCTCATGTGTGCTGGTTGGACACTGTGGCCCAGTCTAACATGGCCCGCTTTTGCCATGTGAGTGGTATAGCCTGAGTGGGTCTGGCCCACCCCTAATTCCAGTTCATGCTGGTTGGGGCTATAGCCTAGCCCAACCCAGCAAGTCTTCAGTCCCGGCACTCATGCAAACTGGCTGTAGTTGCAGCCTGACCCACACTCCATTCTGGTACTCAGATTCACCAGCAGGTGATATGAACTGGCCCAGCCTGGTTTGCCCCCAACCTGAGCCAAATGTTTGCCAGTGGGTACTGCTACCTGGCTTGGTCAGGGAATGTGTCCTGACAGAGGAATTTCCCAAACGCACACAACTCCTGTGTTTACTGCAGTTACTCACCCTGCTGTGCTTGCAGGAAAAAGCCATAGGCAGTACATGAGTGCATATGGCTGTGATCCAAGGAAACCTCAAGGATGCTGACGTTTGAATGTCATATTATTTTCATGTCACGAATGATTACTCATTCTTCGTTTTTGTTCAAACCCCCCCCCCCCCCACTGTCCATGTAAAAGTGTAAAAAATTAGCTGGAGCTTGCAGGCACTACAAAAAGAGACTGCCAGAAAGTTTGCTAACCTCTTCAACAGAGGGAAAGGGGGAATGAAGAACTATGGCAAAATACCCCCGTAGCTTCTTTGGTGTCTGCATCAGCAAGGCGAGGCTGGATTTCACCACAGTAATAAATGATCACAAATTCTCGGCAGTTGGCAATTACAAAGATGTGCTTTTCATTCACAATACGTGTGTACTACACACTGGCTAAATTCTACTCCCTGCTGCTTTCACCCTGGAATTTAGGCCGGGAGAACAGCCTCCCTCTGGAACATTGCTGGATCTAGTAGTAGAAGCTAAACAGAGAGCTTGGCACATCCGATCTTGGCTCTAGATATTTCTGCCTAAAATAGACGCGCATTACTTTCTCTCATATGTCACAGCCAAAGCAAGTCGCATACTTATGCTGGGCATCAATGGGGAGGATAGTAGAATCTTCTAGGGAGAAGCAGTAACTGGGAACTGTAAAGTTGAACACATTGCCTTTTGTTACTTTAATTATGTTTTGACATTTTCATACTAGATTTTCTACTACTGCCTATAGTTACAATTCCAGGATGTACTTAAATAGCAATATTGGATTTGTGACTATTGCTGAAGGACTTACACTGCTGTTCCTAAAAGGGGGAAAATGGTTGAGGGGAAGAATGGGGAGGGAGGAAAAGTAGAAGGTGGAAGAATCATTATGCCTACACAATTGTAGCATGGAAAATAATAACAATAAAAATACAAATTCTTACACTAAAAAAAGAGAGAAAGATAAATTAGCTCTGGGTCTAGGTTGGCCATATTCTTTAAATGAATATCTTAACCAACTACTGAGAGATTTCATATTAATAAGAGCAGCTAATGTTTACTGAGTGGTTTTTATTCCCATACATTCATTCTCTCCAGGTATTTCTGCATTTAATCCAAACAACAACCACTACGGTAGCTGTTCCTTTTCTCCCAACTTTTTAGACAGGAAAACTGAGTCATGGAGAGAATAAAACACTTAACTACCAAGAAGCAGAAATTCAAACTCAAATAAAGCTAATGTTACTACTCTAGCATAAATTACAGACACAGGTTCTGGCTGACGAACTGCCCAGGTTCAACTCCTGGCTGGTGTCAGATATTACTTTAATGCCTTGGACAAGGTTTGTAACTTACTCACCAATTTATTCTGACCATAAAATATGAATAATAATGTTATATACTTCATGGGAGCACTTTAGCCAGAGCAAGACCAGGTTAAAGTCAGGAACTGAGAGCTTTATTTGGGCTTTCTATGTGGGTGCAGGGGGCCAAGTACTTGGGCCATCCTGTGCTGCTTTCCCAGGCACATAAGCAGGGAGCTGGAACCAAAGTAGAACAGCCAAGACTCAAACCGGTACTCATATGCCACACTGGTGCTAGGCAGCAGCTTTACCTACTATGTCACAGCATGGGCCCCTGTTGATCATATAGCATAATTAGGATTGTTTTTAAGCCATTACGATTGTTGGAAAGTTTTCCTGACAATTCTAATAGTTTCTCTTCTACTCCCTCCTCATCCCCAATCTTCTTTTTGAATTATTGCTTAGATTTTTGTCGGAACCTGGATTTATTTGTTCTCGGACTACCACTTCACAAACCTGAAGGATAAGCAATGAACACTATTGCCTTTCACCTGTCTGTACACCTCATCTTTACTTCTCAAATCTTCCTGAACGGTTTTCCATTTCTGGTCTATGATTTAAACTCCCAGTTTATATTTAGTGGGTGCATAGCAATGACCTGGAACACAGCACTAGGTTGCCTAGGGGGACACAATAACACCAGCCCTGCTTCTTGCTACATGACCTTGTTGAACATATCCTCAAGTGAATTCTTTAAAACCGGATGGTTTTACTATGGTTTAATTTTGCAAACAATATACAGTATTAAATTTGTTTCCCTGTAAATACTGTGGCAATTGCATATACCTGCCTTGTGGATATTGATATTTTAAAAACCACGAGTTGTTGGAGAAGACCCTGATGATAATGCGGACTGACTGACGATGACAGAGATCATTCAGAACTTTTCACATGGGGTAAAGAGAACCCGCAACTGGCCCTCAAGTTTCAGCTTAAAATGGAGTTAACAGAGTTCACAATGGAATGGGATGAGGCAGAGTGTGACCTTTGAGCAACCTGGAGTCTCTTTTACTTACTAACATCCCTCTTAAAAATGTTTTTCCTGAAAAATTTGATTTCAGGAACCGTAAGGACAAATCACCCCACTTCTTTATTTGTCCACTTGAAGTAATTCATTGCCTTCATAGGCTGTTTTTGACTGTGGTCAGAAGTAAGGAAGTGAAACCCCAGGAGGGAAGTGGGCTTTTCTTAATGATTTGTGATGTCAACATGCTTGTGTTTCTGAAATAATTGAAAGTAATAGGCTTTTAAATGTCTGGAAAATTCTTTTTTGGTCTCTGTTCCTCTACCCCCCTTCCATCCTACATTTGAATTTGCTAGGTTAGGTGTATAGACTGCAAAAGTGACAACTAAGAAACAGAAGTAGGACAGTTTTACAGTTTCAGAAAACATGGCTAGGATGCATCATTGCATAAATGAGATTTAAGCTTGGAGTGGGTGGGAAACTGGGTGGGCTTCTCCCTCAATATCCCCCTTTATCTCAGATACATGAAGGAAGTGGTATGGAAATGGTGGTCTTACCCACTTCCCTGTAGCCCTTGAACCTTTTTTACCCTAATTAACTATGTGAAGATTGTCAAAATATAACAAAACATATATATATATTTATTTATATATAAAAGAGATTTAAGCTAGGACATCAATTGTTCCCAGGTGTTTTGGTTCTCATCAAGTTAAATCTAAGTTGTCTCTAATGTGATAACTTCAAATACAGACTGTCTTTCTAGCAAAGATAGACTGAAACACAGGAATTTGCCATCTTTTCTACATTTTTTGAGTCACATTATAGATGAGTTAGGCATCAAGCTCTGTATGAAACATACTGTTACCGGGAGCTTCTACAGAAGTGATTTTTTTGAATCACACCATGCTTGTAATTTGTGCTCTTCTGTATGGATGAGGACCTAAAGGTTTATGCAGGAAATACACCTGTGAGGACAGCCTCACATATGCAGAGACACACTGGAAGAATCTGCCAGTTCCTGTGTTTTCACACTTAGTTTGCCAGGTGAGATCCAAGCTGTTTTAATCCCATTTAGCTTTCTGTAGGAACCCACTTTCTTTCCTTAACAGTTTGCCCTTCCTCTCCAAAATCCACAGAGCCAAGTTAAGCACCATGATCCTTCTAATTTCAGAGTGTTTTCAGAGGCGCTTTCTAAGGAATAAACAAATGACAGAGAACCAAGCATGAAAAAGCCCAGGTTCTGCCATCATATTTGCAACATGCAAAGTTATTTGGAGAGCACCACAGTCATTTTTATTCAAGAGTAAAGTGACACAGGGTAACAGTATTTTTAAAAGATAGTCATTTAGATTTATTTAAAAAAGAAAAGAGGAGTTCCTCTGTTGGTTTTAGAAGAGTAAAAGCAACAGTCAGCCATTTCTTCAGCTAATTCATGCAATCAAGTAAAATTTAAGCCCAGCTTACTTTGGTAGGATTTAAAGTAGTAAGACATATGTGAATAAAATGATATTAGGCCCCTGTAATTCTGAATGATAAAATAAAGATTAAGATGGTAATATTGGTCCCTCAAGTACTGGTATTTAAACTTTAAAAAACCAATCAAACAAGAAGATTAAGTGGTGTTTCTTTGGTACTAGAAATGCAAAGCTAAGACCAAATTGTTCTTTTTTCACAGATTTAAGATACAAAGAATATTTTAAAGATATTAAAATGACTATTAAATTCTCATCAGTTTGCAAAGAGTTTCCCGTGAAGTACACTTAGAAAAAAAATCCCTGAGTATATTAATACTCCATTAATATCTTCCTTCTTAAAAAAGAGGGATAATTTGAAAGCTTTGCAAGACACGCAAATACAGTACTTAGGAAAGCAGTGTCTGCATATAAAGCTTCCTCCATATTGCCTTCCCATTAGGTCATCAAAGGCTTGACAGGAGAGTCAGCGGATTCACACAGTAAGATATGCATTTAAACACATTATTCATTCACAGAGACTTCAGAAAACCACCGGTCGATGGTGTTTCTATTGAGTCTGACCCACTCAATATTGTTTTTCACTGTTTCCAGCACTTGCTGCCTTGGTGTTTCTCCTGCTCCTGCTTCAGGGTATTTTGCAAAAAAGCTCTCCATCTAGAAAAGAATAGGAAATAATCAAGAAAGTCACTCTAAATCCAATTATTCCTCAACAAATTCATGTATAAGCTGGCATTCTTATCTTTTCATCTAGAAAGGCAATATTTGTGTACTCCTATGGAGTCACTCTGGGCACAGTATTCAGACAGAGCCCACCTTCAGAGCAGCACCAGTGTCCCTGCTTTTGTTTTCCTGGCAACATCCAGCTCTAAGAGGCTAGCATGCATTGGGGAGCAGGGCAGAGTGCCAGAGGCCAGCATCCCCGCGTCTGTTCCTGCTGCTTTCCTTACTTCCCCTGAGCTGTTCCCTGGAAAACCTGGCAGGGTAGCAATGGTTTTGACCATTCTTTCACGCCAATTCAACAATATCCTTATTTGCTTAAGAAATGATTTTACTTTTAGCATATAGGATCATAAAATCCCAGTATTCCAATACTTAGGACCTGAAACTTCGTAACTCTATCCAATATTAATGGAGATTTTCCCTCCTGGGGAATTGAGAGATTTGAAACTACTTTTGAAATTCTCAGACTACTCATTCTGAATGGACTACAACCTTGACCAGCGTATTCCAGAACTACATATACTGGGAAAGGGGAAACATATTTATTGAACTTTGATGAACCAAACAGTCTCTACACTTTCTTAACTTTTAAGCTTTGCCTCAAAATCAACTACATTTATTTTTTTGGTCCAGAAAAAAAGAGGTATCTATTTTATTAGATACAGTAATTTCTTCTTTATTATTGTTGCCTGTGATGTGAATGGAGGATATCCTGTTTCTGTTTGAGAGAAAACTCAACCGTATTTCTGCATAGACAAGTGTAAAGGAGTCTGCATACCTCCCAGAGTCGCAGCTCAGTGTTGAACGGCTCTGCTATGGTGACGATCCGGCCAAGGTTTCTGTCATTGATTGTGAATCTGAAGAGAAATTGAGAGGAGCAAAAGGGAATGTAAGTGCCAAGAGCCTTATTTTTAATTTTTTTAGATACAGATATTTATTTCATGAGTATGCATGTGTTTCAAGGTTAATTTTCAGAGTAAGCTAAAAACAGAAAATACACACACACAGTTAAACTAATTCCATTGAAATTCTCAGGACAGTCTGCAGTTCTTCTTTCTTTCTTTTTTCTTTTTAAAGACCTAGTTATTTATTTGAAGTGCAGAGCTACAGAGTGGGGACACATACACACACGCACACACATACACATCTTAAATTCATTGGTTCATTCCCCTATGACCATAACATTGGGACTAGGTCAATCTAGGATCCCCAAACTCTTAGCATCTCCCATAAGAGAGGCAGGGGCCCAAGCACTTGGAGCCATCTCTGCTGCTTTTCCAGATGTGTTAGAAGGGAGTTGGATCAGAAGTGGAGGAACAATATTGCACAGAGAAGGAGAACCAGAAAGGTTTCTCATGCACTGGTTCACTCCCCAGATAGCTTCAAAGCCAGGAGCTAGGAGGCTCTTCTGGGTCTCTCACATGGGTGACAAGGGCTCAAGCACATGAGTCATCCTATGTTGCATTCCCAGGACATTAGCAAGGAGCTGGATCTGAAATGGAGCAGTCAGGACTTGAACCCATACAGGATCCCAGCACTGTAGACTGTAGCTTAATCTACTACTCCACAATGCCAGTCTCATACAGCTTCATACTAGAAAGGAAACCTGCCATAAATAGTACCAAAGGTAGGGTCAGCACTGTGGCACATGTGGACACAGTTTGTGTTCAGCCAGACCACCTCCAATCCAGGTATTCTGTTATGTCCTGGGAGAGCAGTGAAAGATAACCCAAGTATTTGGGCCCTGCCATCCCTGTGGGAGAACAGGATAAAGCTCCTGGCCAGTGGCTTGGCCTGACCCTACGCTGCCAGAGGGTCATCCGGGAAAGTGAACCAGCAGATGAAAGACATCTTTTTCACTGTCTCTCCTTCTCTCTCTCTGCAAATTTGCCTCTCAAATAAGAAGCAAACAAAAAGAATAAATCTTTTAAAAAGTTTATGTATTCATTTGAGCATTTTTCCATCCAAGTAAAATTATCTTTTACTTTCACTTATCACAGACTTTTTTAAAAAAAAAAAAAGATTTATTTTATTTTTTATTGGAAAGTCAGATATACTAGAGGAAAGACACAAAAGAAGATCTTCCGTCCAATAATTCACTCTCCAAGTGGCCGCAACGGCCGCAACAGCTGAGCTGATCTGAAGCCAGGAAGCAGGAGCCTCCTTTGGGTCTGCACGTTGGGGCAGGGTCCCAAGGCTTTGGGCCGTCCTCAACTGCTTTCCCAGGCCACAAGCAGGGAGCTGGATGGGAAGCAGGGATCTCAGTATATGCAAGGTGAGGACTTTAGTTGCTAGGCTACCACACTGGGCCCATTTTCACAGACTTTTTGAAGTCTTCTCACATGATATTGAACAAACATGTATATTATATAAAAATCATTACAAATTGGAAAGTGGGAGAAACATGCTGATGTGAAACGAACAAAGGAATGAAAATGTAGCAGTGATAAAAAAGATAAAATGTCCTAGTGATCAGCTATGATTATCCATAAACTAGTCCCTGTGCCCTCTTTCTAAATTAATTAAATTAGTTTGATTAATTAACATAATTAATACAGTTGCTTTTATTCCTTTGAAAAGGAATGAGAAACAGTTGTCCACAAAAACCATGACTTTGCCAGGATGAAATTAGAAGCCTCAAACTCCATTTGGGTCTACCATGTGTGCGGCAGGGGCTCAAGCACTTGGGCCATTTTCTGCTTTTTTTCCAGGAGCATCAAGAAGCAGCTGTAGCAGAAGTGGAGTAATTAGGTCTCAAACCAGCACCTAAGTGGGATGGAATGCCATGTTGCTTGTGGCAGCTTAACCCACTGTGCCATCATGCCAGCCCCTCGTTTACTCTAAATTTCCTGTTTTCACTTCCTTCTGACAAACATTCTGGCTCATAGCCTCCTCCCTCCCTCCCAAGAGGCTCTTTTTTCTACTTGAAAGGAAAAAAATACATAATGACTCCTGTATCTTTTAGCTTACCAGTATAAAAACGCAGCTGTGTGCCCCTACCCATGCCATTTGTTTTTACCGTGGTGCTTACCTCTTCATGTTCAGCATTGCATTAGCAGTCCAAGCCATCACTCTTACTGGGACTACAGCAACAGCTAACTGCTTTTCCCAAATCCACCCCAGGCCTCCATACAAGTCTATCCTTCACTTTATCCCCTGAGAACCTCGTTTTTGAAGTAAAACTGATGATTTCACTTTCTTTCTTGAAGCCATGCAGCAACTTACAAAGGTTTTAGGACAAAAGGCAAATCTTAAAATAACCCTGTGACTCTACCAATAAAGTTTGTGTTGTCAGGTAATTTTCATATTGTTGCTTTTTACTTCCATTTTGTTTTCTGCAAAATAATAAAGTTGTCATTTAAAAAGGAAATTACACTAAGGCTGGCACTGTGGCAGGCTAAGCCTCTACCTGTTTTGCTGACAGCCGATATGGTCACAATTTGTGATCCCAGCTGCTCCACTTCTGATCCAGCTACCTTCAAATAGCCTAGGAAAGTAGCAGAGGATGGTGCAAGGCCTTGGTACCCTGCTGCCATCTGGGAGAGCCCGAGGGATTCCCGTCTCCCAGCTACGGACTGCCCAGTCTGGTTGTTACGCCAATTGGTGAATCGAACCAGTGAATGAAAGATCTCTGTCTCTCCCTTTCTCTTGCTGTAACTCTGAATTTAAAGTAAAATGAATAAATCTTTTTTAAAGGAAATTAAACTAAGTTGCTCTAACACAAAGAAAAGCCACTAATTATAAGTAAGATAATTTTTTCAGTGGGCTATTATTTCTGCAACACTTGTCTGCTTTGTTCTCACAAAGACTAAAACTAAAGAAATACATTTAGAACTACCAGGGAATACACTGCATGAAAATTGCATCCACCTACACTCCTACTAAAAATGTGAGAACAAAATATGCTCATCCCTAGATACTAGTAGCATATTAGGTGTAGAGGAATAGAGTGGGAAAGGCCTTCAGCCTAGCAGTGAAAACATGGCACAAGCCGTGCATCTGATGTCAGAGTCTCCGGGTTCCAGGCCCAGCTCCTTGAGAGTCTGCAATGATGGATCAAGTCTTTGGGTTCCCGCCATTCATGTGGAAGCTCTGCATTGAGTTCCAGACTTCTAGCTTCAGCCCCAAACCAGCCTAAGCTGTTGCTGGTCTTTGGGGAGCAAACCAGCACATGAAAGCTCTGTTTGCCTGATTCTCAAATAAACAAATGTTAAAATGCAAAAGACACAGAAATAACATTGTGTATTTACCACATCGATTATTTTTAAAACTAAAATATTGATTTAGTTGTATTTTAGTTTGAAAATTATATAAAATCGTTTTGGACTTTGTATGTTATGTTACCCAAAAGAAAGGATTTTGATACACATAATGCTTAGAATTAGTTGCTTATTAAATTATTTTATTAAGTAGCACTTAAGTGACTTCAGTCCTATGAACTTATTTTTATCAAATCATAATCTAAATCAGACTTTATCACAGCAAACTATTGATTAATGGGTCCATTCAACTACATAGTTTCATCTAAGATTTTACTGAAAGAAACAAAAGCAAGGAATAATTTCCAAAATGACTTTGGGAACTTGTGGTTGAGTCTCAAGCTAGCAAGTACATTAATGCTGTGCTCACCAGCTGTCATAAAAAGCACATGAAGAAAGCTTCATCAAATAGTAGCTTAATTATTTTAGAGTGGCAATAAATTTTCCAGAAATGGAACGGAAGACTACTCATCCTAACTTTGGAAAAATGTACAAGACTTTGGAAATATTTGGATGAGGCTGGCTCATTTCTGTTTCATTTGTCTTATCCAATTTTTATGAGAAAACTCTATTTATTCCTACCAACATAATTAATATTTGTTTTTTGTGTTAGACATGTGGTTATTATATAATTTTATGTTTGGGACCATTTGAATTAATAACACATGAAAATTAGTTCATTAGACAATGGATGAACATTAGACAACCTTGGCAACGGTTTTCAGATTCATTCTGGAAACAGTTGATCAATTTATTCTTATTGAAAAAAACTCAGTTAAATAAATCTAACACATTTTTTTAAGGCTGGATGTTTATTACCTTTATGGCAAAGTGACATCCATTTTTTCTACTTCTTAATTCTTAATGGAATAACAAACACATTTTTAAAAATGAGAAATACATTATTTGTAATAAATCACTTCAGAACTACTCAAATAGGCCTGAGAAGTATACTAAAAGAATTCAAATGGGCAACGAATATATGCAAAAATAGTTGGGTCTGGTCTTAAGGCTCAACGGCAAGCTCCAGAATCCCATGTGGGAACTTCCCATCCAGCTCTCTGCTTGTGTCCTGGGAAAGCAGTAGAGGATGGCTCAGTGCCTTGGGACTCGGCACCCACATGGGAGACCCAGAAGAAGCTCTTGGCTCTTGGCTTTGGACTGATTCAGTTCCATGGCCATTTGGGGAGTGAACCAGCAGATGCAAACTCTTTATCTGTCTCTCCTTCTCTCTGTAAATATGATTTGCCTTTCCAATAAACACAAATAAATCTTTTTAGAAATTGATCAACATCATTAGCAAATCAAAATCACAATGGTATCTCATCTCACTCTGTTAAAACAGTTAAAATCCAAAATACAGACAGTAACAAATACCAGTAAGGATATAAAGAAAAGGAACACTTACACACTATTGGTGGAAATGTAAATTAGTGCAGCAATTGTGGAAAACAGTTTGGAGATTTCTCAAAAAACTAGATATAGACTTGCTATGTGATGCAGTAATCCCATTATGGGGTAGATCTCCAAAAGGCTTAAACACAATGAATCCCAGAGATAACTGTACACCATTCAGCACTATGCATGACAGCCAAAAGTTGGGATTGATGGAGGTGGCCATTACAAAGAAAATATCGTCTATATACATGGCAGAATAGAATTCAGCCATAAAAAAATAGGAAATTATATCATTTGCAGCAAAATGGACACAATCAAAGAATATTGTATTGAATAAAATAAGCTACACCCAAAAAGATAAATAACACATTTTCCTCCTTACTTGTGGGAGTTAAACTTTAAAAAAAAGAACAAAAAGAAAAAAAGAAAAAAGGAAGAATGTCTGTGTGTATTCTGTGTATCCATATTGCTGCAATGCAGTTTTGTAAACTTTTGTTTTATACCTTTGTTGAACCAGTGAATAAGAATGTTATACTATTGCAGTTTTAATAATGTGTCAGAAGTTTATAATTTAAGGCATATGAGTGAAATGCTCATTTTTCTATTTAATTATTATTTGTAACTGTTGTCTATGTTCCCACTAAGGTCTCTTTTGCTTTTTACTTTTTAAAATTCTTTCTGGTTTTTTATGGCCTCTCTGACCCTACCAAATAACTTTTTTTGCACAAGCATCCTTTAATTTACAAAGCCTCAATCTAAACACAAATTGCAGATGCGCACTGCTCATGGATCTTAAATGGAACCTCTCATACTGACCCAGGTGAAATAAGTACCAAAATACAGTGCACACATGGCTCCTGGATTACCAACTTCTTTGTCTTAATTTTGATTTTTTAATTAGTATGTGATAGATTCAATGTGCTTTGTAGGTACAATTATAGGAACACAATGACATTCCACTACTCCTTTCATTTCCCTCTCTTTCTTATTTTGCCCATCTGCTCTTTCTCTCACTTTTTTTTTTGAACTTTTAAGATAACACATTTTTTTTTTTAAAGATTTATTTTTATTATTTTTTCATTGGAAAGGCGGATATACAGAGAGGAGAGACAGAGAGGAAGATCTTCCGTCCGATGATTCACTCCCCAAGTGAGCGCAACGGGCCGATACTATGCCGATCCGAAGCCAGGAGCCTCTTCCGGGTCTCCCACGCGGGTGCAGGGTCCCAAAGCTTTGGGCCGTCCTCGACTGCTTTCCCAGGCCACAGGCAGGGAGCTGGAAGGGAAGCGGGGCTGCCGGGATTAGAACCGGCGCCCATATGGGATCCCGGGCGTGCAAGGCGAGGACTTTAACCACTTGCGCCACCGCGCCGGGCCCAAGATAACACATTTTGGATGTACACAACCATAAAAGGCTTAATACACCACCAATTCGAAATTCAGTAACTAAAATGCAAAAAGACCTTAGATGAGTGGGAATACAGGCAATGGCTATAAATGAATAGAAAAAAACCACGATGACTGATTAGAAAATGGCTATCTCACCCATTTACAGTAATCGTAAAATGACCACAGATCGCTTTTTAGACTTCTTATTCAGTGAAGTGGTAGATATTTTTACTGCAGTGTAAAACTAAAATATATTATCTCAGAAGAAACAGAGAAGGGGAGGAAAGGGATGGGAGAGAGTAGTGGAATGTCATTGTGTTCCTGTAATTGTACCTACAAAGCACATTGAATCTGCTACATATTAATCAAAAATTAAAATAATTTTTTTTCAAAAAAGCTTTGTGTTTCTTCTATATGCATTTACTGTGGCATATACCTGGTACCCCCTAAAAGGAAAAATTATTTTTTATTAAAATGCACAGTATATATCATTAGGCACCCATCTTCCAACATGTTTACAGGCAGATATATTCATTCTGAAGCCAGCATTTCATTGAAACAATTATCAACGGAAATGAGTAATTCATACACACACTCATGGACAAGGGAAAAAGTGAACACAAATAGACAAAAGCCAGGTGGAATATGTAGAGAGTTAGAGATATGATCTGGCTTTTAAAAAGAAATGCATGTACAGACACTGTAGCACTCTGGTGAATCATAGGGTCAAAAAGAGAAAGCAGAAGTGGTTGTTGCAGTTTCTTGTAAGGCAGCCCTAATTGATCAAGCAGGGCTGCTAGACTGACAGCAGAGAGTGGGAAGAGGTGGTGGAGGTGATTCCCTGATGAGGGGATTCAGATCATAACAATCTTCTCATCAAAGTTTACATGTACATACACTGTATTCTGCTGTATACTGTGTTAAGGAAATGCCTTTTTAATGGAGTTTGGAAACCAAATTCCAAAGATCCAAATCAAGAAGAGCAGCAGTTCTTCACATGGAACTGAAGAAATCAAAAATGTCTATTTATTGATTTTTATCTCTTGTCCTTGCTATTTATCCACCTAAAAATTGCTGCTGTCCGTAAAATATGGCTCCCTTTTAAGAACTACTGGAAATTCTTGGAAGTTTAATCATCAGGACAGGGAAGATAAAAGTTATTATTCACTTATTTCAGGTAAGATATAGGGCTCTACTTTGAATCAGACCCAAGAATTCTCATTTGGATTTCACCAGATACTGAGGACTATGCACTTAGCATTATGCATGGTACTAGCATACATTAGTGCCAGTCAGTAATCCAGACCTCAGAATCCTAAAGGTTGGCTGAAAACAAACACTTCCAGAAAATGGACTGTACTTAAACGTAACTACTGCATTTCATTCCTGAAGGGGAAATAGCATGATCCCTTACCTTTAATATTATGTCATTTCAATATTGTATGGATATCAGAGAAAGAGATAAAAGAAGGAACTTGTAGAAGATACCAAACAAAGGAAAACAGGGCAGTATTTGGTCATCTCACCTGTTAACCAGATAGTCCCAGTTGAGTTGTATCCAATTCCAGGCCATACTCTTCCCATAGCTATTATAGGAGATATAGCGGATGACTGTAAACACATCCTGAGAGCGAATGAAGTTTGGGTCCTTGAGCAAATCCAAATACCTTAGAGAAGTCAAACAGAAAAATAATTCTAAATGAACTGTCAATGGGAGTCATTACCTAAGATCACTATTACATAGTTTTCATTCTAGCAGCTCAATTCTTAAACATCAATTACCAAAAGTTAATTAAATATGATATGTAATGGAATACAATTTAAAATTTTCTATATACTTGACCATTTTCTAAGAATAACCTGTGGGTTTTGAGGACTGCTGAGATGTAGGTTATAGAAACATTTAAAATTAAAATAGTAGGAACAGTAAAAACAGAATTTTAGTTATTTTTAAAATAATAGCTTTTATTGAGTACAAGCCCTTTATTCACTTGCATATTATCCCACTGAATTTTTAAAAGGAACAATAGGGGATATAGCGAGCTAATCCTACACATGTAAGCGCTGGTTCATGCCCCAGCTGCTCCATTTTCAATGTAACTTTTTGCTTATCATCTGGGAAAGCAACAGAGCATGATTAAAGGCCTTGGCCTCTGGCACCTATGACTCCCACTTGGAGGGAAACAGGGACAAGCTCCAGGCTCCTGGCTTTGGATCAGCTCAGCTCCAGCTATTGTGGTCATTCAGGAAATATACCAGCAGATAAAAGACCTCAGTGTGTGTCTCACCCTCTGTCCTGGTGAGAATCTGCCTTTCATATAAAAATAAATAAATCTTAAAAGAAAAAAAGCTGGTAGGGTCTGGTGTGGTGACACATCTAGCTAATTCTCCACCTGCAGGTTCCAGCATCCCATATGGGTGCCAGTTCATGTCCCTGCTGCTCTGCTTCTAATACAGCTCCCTGTCTATTACCTGGAAGAGCAACAGAAGATGGGCCATAGCCTTGGGCCTCTACAACCATTTAAGAGACTCAGAAGAAGTTCCTGGCTACTGATTTTGGATCAGCTCAGTTCTGGCATTGCAGGGATTTGGGAGTAAACCAGTAGGTGGAAGATGTGTGTGTTTCGCTCTCTCTGTGTCTCTGTAACTGAGTTTTAAGTAAAATAGCAGGAAGAAAGAAAAGAAAAGAAAGGAAAAGAAAAGAGGAGGGAGGGAGGGAGAGAGAGGGAGGAGGAAACCAGTAAATTTAAGAATAGCATTTATTTTCTGTATTAGAATAGCTAAAACTTGCAAGCCTTTCTTTAGATGGAAAGAAACAGCCTTCTAATGTAATTTATACAGTTAGATTATATAGCATCAATTACGGCTTAATGCAGATAAGTCAAAATGAATTAAATGACCTAGTAAATAAATTTTATTAAATTTATGCCATGGCTGTACCTACAGTTGCACATTCTAGCCCAAGACCTTTAAGCATATATTGTATTAAAAAAATTTCTAAATATGATCAACACATACAAGGGTATTTAAAAGTTTTGATGGAAAAGTGTAATAGATAGTTATTTTTTGCATGATACATGAAAAATGCATATTATGTAAAAACTATACATATATTTCTAAATTGTTCTTGTAGCAAAATGAACTCATAATTTAAACTCCAATTTCCAGGAGCACTTTGAAATAACCTTGTATTTTACTAATTATGAGAAGGGCATCTCAAATATGTACATCTACTGCAGATCAAGTAAAGTATTTTCATATTTCCCAAATCTTACTGTTCCATAGCTTCCTACCCACGGTTCAATTTATTAATATCTTTAGGGGGATGCTGCAACAAAAGAACCACATGCAAATCGAACTATGAAATAGTTCTGAGAGCCATTTTTGTCAAGGAAAAAAGATATTTCTATATTTATTACACAGTCATTAATATATCAAGAGCCAGGCTGACATACTAACATACTTGATCATAAAATACTACCCTCTGTGACATAGGAGAAAATTCAAGTTTAAGAGAAGCTCACCTAAAAGAAAAATTAGAAAACATTACTCCCTCCAGTACCAGAATAAAGATCTCTAGTTCAATATCTGCCTTTCTACGCCCAACGTGTCATAGGGAGTGAGTGAACACATTATGCAAGGTGAAGTGAATACATTATGAGTACCACATGAGAGCAGGGGACACTAAGGGATGCTCAGAATACCACATAGTCACAGATGAACCAAAAAATGCTAGCCAGCACAGATATTTCATGAACATAACCAGATGGCTTATGCACATCTCTGCAGCTTTCATCTCTGCATGTCAGACAGTGCTCTAGTAGGGAAGATGTGACAAAGGAGAGTGAATGGACTTCAGTCTGGGCCCACGACTGGTACAGACCTTAAGACAAATCATCATCAAAGTAACGGATCTCCGGGTTTTTCTTTTTTCCTGCTCCCTTGGAGCCCTCTCCTGTTACTAAGGCAGGGGTTTTCTTTTTCTTTCCTAAATAAATCACACTTTACAAGCTTAAAAAAGAGTAATGGATCTCTGCAATTTTCTATGAGATGTCAAGATGACCAAGTTCTTGACAGCTTCTTTTATGGCAGAGAACAGGAGAACTCACCATGCAGTATTTAGGTAAGATGCTATAGGTCTATTGTTAGCCATACCGAGGACAAGCAAGCTACTTAGAGTTTACAACGTACATTCTGGCCTCAAGGATGTTTCTCAAGGATCGGTCTCATATTTTATTCCATTCATTCTACAATCAATATACCTATACTTACAAAGGATATCATAACTGCTGATACAAATAATTCATATATTATAAACAAACAAACAACAAAAAAAAAGAAATAGGGTAGAAGCTAGCCAACTTAAGGCACAGGTGTACAGTTGGCAAAATCCTATTTGGGCCTTATTTCAGCAGCCTTTGCACTCTTCCGGCAGTACATGAATAGATACATGTGCATTGCGGCAGAGACTGCTCAGCTGTTTTGTCCTGGTCATTAGATAGCCCTGATCTCAAAGAAGGACTTGGACACTCATGACTGGCCTAAAGCTGTCAGAGGAACTGAAAGCCCTACTAGCTAGCAAATGACCAAGCAGGCAGGGATCCAGAACTATCCGATTTGACTTAATTCTGGATGATGAAGAAAAATGGAAATAATTGTGTTTTGAGATTAAAGAACACTGTGAAAAAGGCTAGGAACCTAGGGGATCCTGTCTTCTCTCCACTAATATATTTGTGAGAGCACACAGTTGTGCTTGCAGCCAACAGTGAGAACATGGGAGGGAGCAGGCTCATGAGGACAGGATGGAGCCATGGCACATGACCAGGGCGTTTTGTTTTGTTTTCCACCAAGATTGAATTTATTTTCTGTCTCATGGAATCTTCCAGGGGAATCTGTTTATTACAGGAAAGGTGATTTTAGTGGATGTGGGGCAAAGACATCATACTTCATCTAAATTTTTTTTTTTTATACAGTGAGATGTAAACTCACATTTCATTCACCCAGGTGAGACAAAACTCGACAACAGAGTAACATTACCTTGACAACAGAGTAACATTCTTCACTGAGGCTAAGCCATAGAGCAGTTTTTCTTTTTCTTGGGCTAAGGGAGTTCTTAGGTATTGGTCAAGAGTGTAGTTCCATGAAGTCTCGTTGCCAGAGCTGTACATCCCATAGCGATACACTAGAAGTCTGAGATTGACGGGGAGACTGGAAGAAGAAAGTGTTACAGAGACTTCAGCTACTCATTCCTCAGTTTAAGCCTTCTTGAAAACCTGAAAACCGAATGAACAAGTAATCACCTTACTGCTCCACTGACCCAGTCCTCAAATAACCGGGAAGCATTTCTCAAGGCTTCTTCATCTCCCATTCTGCATGCAAATCCTAACACAGAGGCACGCAGTAACCTTAGGGAAGAAAAAAAAAAAAAAGAACATAAAGCCAAAGCCTTACGCATTTTCCATGCTCTTAAAACACACAAACAATTGTCAAATGAGTATTAGATTTAGAAAGGTGAGAAATTACTTTGTGAGGTGGTTTCCGGTGTCATTCCATCCCAGATCATCAGCAACGGGCTTGATTTGATCTCTGAAGTAGCGCTAAAATAAAACACCATATGCAATGAGTAGTGTTATCTGCAACGATCTCTCATTTATTATAATCTGAACTCCTCTACTGCAACCTTTTTTTCCTATACATGGAAGGGTTCTGGGCCTACTTTTAGGAAAGACAGTCATGAGCCTTTTCTACATGCTAATTTTGCTTCAATCCTGACCACACACTAGCATCTGACATTGCACATAATGTTTTATGAAACTTCAGACAAGCTCCTTTTGATTTCACTTTCTTAAATAACAGGCAATAAATATTAGACATCATGTACTCACACATAGATGAGATAATCAAACTAACTGATATTTTGTATTTTCAGGGCACTTTTGTACTATTTTATACTTATTACATCATTACCACAGATAAATCCTGATGTTCCTGCTATACAAAGGAGATGAATAAAAACCACAAATATTACATTTTGTAATATTTAGCAAACGAAAGAGCTAGAGATTTGAATCTAAAACTTTTAATTGCAAGTGTCCTGCTGAGGTACTACAGAAATCATAAAGCAAGGGAAAAAAAGTTAAAATGGTTATCTTATAAAACTCCAATGTGTTATGTCTCAGCATAAGGAATAAAAAATGCAATGTTATAGTCTGTGAAAGATAGAGTCACCCTAACCTTTAAAATAAGATATAGTTACTATTTATAGTCTAAACTATTTTAAATTTTAGTTAAAACACTACATCTGTATTCCTGGACCCAGAACGATGGCTCAGTGACTAAATTCTTGCCTTGCACAGGTTCATGTCCCAGTTGTTTCACTTCCCTGCTTATGGCCTGAGAAAGCTACAGAGGATGGCCTGGTGCCTTGAGACCCTAGACCCACAAGGGAGACCCAAAAGAAGCTCATGGCTCCTAGCTTTGGATCAGCTCAGCTCCAGCCATTGTGGCTATTTGTGGAGTGAATCAAGGGATGGAAGATCTTTCTCTCCACTCCTTCTCTCTGTAAATCTGATCTGCCTTTCCAATAAAAATAAATAAATCTTCAAAACACTACTGCATTTCTTTTAGCACTAAAATATTACTTTAAGTGTTAATACTGAACCACAAGTAATATATTTTAAACAGAAAAAATATATATAACTAGCATCTCCTGACCGTGAATAATCATGTCATGGCACTTGTGACTTCACTTAGCAGGGAGATAGTTTGTGTTGCCTAGTTATTCCTCCTCTCAGAAATCATCCTGATCTAATGACTAAATATTTAAATGCATAATATATCACAGCATTAACATCACCTCTATCTTTGGATATATTTCAGTATCATCTTCAAACATGCTAATGATATAGTTTACAGCTGCAATGGCTCTTTGCCACGGTATATAATCTGTTTCTTCTCTGAGATACTTGGTCAGGTTCAGAGCCGTGGTGTAATTCAGAAGTTGAGCTCTAAAAAAAGGGAAAGAGAAAATACAGCTAATAAAAAATCACAGACTTCAGTTTTCATTCAACTGGAAATGCTAATGTGGGAAAAAGCATCTCATAATAATTAAAAATTGCATTTATTGTTGGGATCCAATCACAAAGTTTTGTCCAAATTAGTTTATTAGCACCTTCTTATATTCACTAGTAATGAGAAAGACATATATCTGGGAATCACTATAGCCAGATTTCAGATAAAACAAAAGCTATTTTGCCACATAATATGTTAATACACTTTTGGTGGGAATGTGACCTGGTACAATCATTATGGAAGTAATGGAGATTCTTTAGAAACCTGAAAATAGATGTATCATATGATCCAGCTATCTCATTCCTGGGCATTTACCCAAATAAAATGAAATCAGCACATGAAACTGTTATCTGTACCACCATGTTTACTGCTGCTTAATTTACAGTGGCCAAAGTATAGAATTAACCCAGATGTTTTTCAACTGACGACAGGATAAAGAAAATACAACATATACATACTATGGAATGCTACTCCACCATAAAAAAGAATGAAATCCTGGCTTTTGCAATAAAAGGCATGCAACTGAAAACCATTATGTTTAATAAAACAAGCCTGTCCCAAAATACAAATGTCATGTTTTACCTATGCAAATTATTTTATTGAAATTAATTAAATTTGCTCATAAAGGAACATAAATAAAAGTACTTGAGTCACACATGCTTAAAACATTAAAATTAAATTTATATTTTCTTTAAAATATCTGCTTTTCATACATTACTCATGAATTTCTATGAATAAAATGGATGTTTTTCTAGACAGTTTGGAAATGTTGTTGCCATTTCAAAGTTTAAATAATCCAATTTCTTCCCTTTTTAGAATTGTAGATCCTTTTAGAATTGTTTTACTAAATACTGTTTTACTAAAATTTCAGTCTAATTTTGGAAAAATGTCTTTGAAGGGAGTTTATATGTTTAAAAAATGTGTTTATTTGAATGACGGAATTATATATAGAGAGAGAATGGAACACAGAGAAGAATTTTTCATCTGCTAGTTCAGCGCCCAGATGGGTGCAACGGCCAATACTGAGACAAGCCAAAGCCAGGAGCCAGGAGCCCTTTTCAGGTCTCCTGCATGGGTGGCAGGGACGCAAGCACTTGGCCCTTCTGCTACTTCTCCAGGCCATTACCAGGAAGCTTCATCAAGAGGTAGAATTGCCAAATTCAAACTCACACCCATATGGAATGCCAGCATTGCTTCTGCCTGGACCAATACCATTATTGTGGACATCTGGAAAGTGAACTAGTGGATGGAAGATCTCTCTGTCTCTCTCTATCTGTGTGCAGGTTCCTCTTTTTCTCTGTAACTCTTTCAAATAAATAAATAAATAAAAATGTTTAAGATTTACTTATTTTCATTTGAAAGTCACAGCCACGTATAGAGAAGAAGGGAGGGAGGGAGGGAGGGAGGGAGAGGGAGAGAGAGAGAGAGAGAGAGAGAGAGAGAGAGAGAGAAAGAGAGAGAATCTTCCACTCATAGATCATTCTCTGGATGGCTGCAATGGCCTGAACTGGACTGGTTTGAAGTCAAGAACTTCTCAACCCAATAGCAAGAAGCTGGACTAAACGTGGAGTAGTCAGGATTCAAAAGGCATCCATATGGGATATTGGCACTATAGCTAGAAGCTTAACCTGATATGTCAGGGTGCTGGCTCCATAAAAATAAATCTTTAAAGAAGTCTATGCAGGGCCCGGCACGATAGCATAGTGGTTAAAGTCCTTGCCTTGCACGCGCCAGGATCCCATATGGGCACTGGTTTTAATCCTGGCGGCCCCACTTCCCATCCAGTTCCCTGCTTGTGGCCTGGGAAAACAGCTGAAGACGGCCCAAAGCTTTGGGATCCTGCACCCGTGTGGGAGACCTGGAAGAGCTCCTGGCACCTGGCTTTGGATTGGCTCAGCTCCAGCCATTGCACTCACTTGGGGAGTGAACCATCTGACAGAAGATCTTTTCTGTCTCTCCTCCTCTCTCTATATCTGCCTTTCCAATAAAAATAAATAAATCTTTTAAAAAGTCTATGCAAAACAATTCCCCCATGCATTTAAATCTTTTTTTTCCCCACATTTTTAATTTTGTTATGCTTCACTGCCAGCCATCTATCCAGCTAGTATCTATTGAACACCAACTACTATCACCAAGTAAAGTATGGCACTTAATACCTATTCTCATGAAACTTGTAATTAATAAACAGTAACAATATAATATTGTGGAAAAACCTGGAGTTCATAAGAAGTACATCTGTTTTAGTATATGTGCTGCTGAAGCGAGCACAAGAAGGACATCTGACTTGGACAAAGGAGCCATAGGAGGCCCCCTAAGGAAGTAGCATGTCACTTTCAGTGTCTTTCTTATCTAGAAAGAGGCCATCACAAATCCAGAGAAATGAAATCACCAAGTCTCCAGCTCCTTGAGCCAAGCTGAGCTCCAGAAGCTGAATAAATATTGTTATATTACTGCTCTCAGAGTACCTGAAGAGGTATTTGGAAGCACCATGGTTACTACTCCTCTGCTTCCCCATTCTGTTCTGATTATCTTTTCCTAAGTGCAGGTAGCCTTCATTTCACAGGGAAGAAAAGTCAAATTTCCTAAGTGGTATTTTAGCTCCAATCAGTCCTGGAAGACTGTGGCTCCTTTCTCTTACCCCAGTGACCTGAACAGGATTTGAGAGTTCTAGTCATACAATTCTACAGTCAGCTTGGGCTCACCAAATTAAATTAATTAAATCCATTGATGTCTTTTTATTAAATCAAACGATGAAGGTGCACTTCTGAGCATTTGCAAATGCCATTTTTAATAACTTCAAGGACTCTAATATAGTCAAGCCATGCCCACAGCCAACAGAGCAGGTGAATTTTTGCATGTATGTGAACAGTTGATATCCATATTTTGGCTGTTAGGCACATACAAACTTTTCAAAGAGGACTAAGAAAGTAATAATGCTATCAATAGTTTCTCTGGATATTTTAAATTGTCTGTGATGTACATGTTATTATTATTACTTAAAGGATTGTGACAAAGCCTTGTGGTACCTAAATTCCTACCATCATTCCAAAACAAACCTTGCCAAAGCAAAAGCATCATCAATAAAACTTGCACGGTCGGCAGAAGAGAAGTCCTGGGAAGAGAAAAATTAAAGAGGTAAGAGACAACTCGTAAAGCAAAGCTCATCGAAAAATTAATAACATCATTAGGACATTGTTCTTAGAACACAAATCAATTCACAATTGCTATCTCTTACCAAGAAACTTGAGGAAAGATTCTCAGCTATTTTGTTCCAAGTTTCTTCTTCATAATTTACACGATAAAATCCGATATGATCTGGGTTTATTTTGGCAAAAGCACTTTCATCAGAAATGTTCAGATTAATTCCTGCAGTGGTAAATAAACACTAGTGAGAAACGCATGTGCAGATACTGCAAATACAGATAAATGAGACCCCGAGGGCGAAAAGAAAAGAAATATTAACTCCAGGAGTCAAGTTTGGTGACTTGATCCAAAGTCTCACTCTCGTTCAGTTGCCTAACTTTGGTATGTTACTGGAGTGGGTAAGCTGGACAGTAAGTACATCCTTTTCTTTGTGACTTTCATTTCTTACTGGTCAAAGCCTGTCAAAAAGCTAAAATGATGCTGTGCTAATTGTGCTTTCAATCGAACAAAATGGTGCTTTAAAACAGAGACATCTGCATTCTAGGTGTGGTTCCATGTTCCTGTTCACAAGGAATGAACTGTACAAAAAATATTCACTAGGGAACAATAGGGAGAGGATAAGATGTAAATACTATTATACTTTGCTAAAATCAATGTTAAAGTTGATGGAGATGATTATTATCTACCAAAATAAAATTTGAAAATCAGTCATACTTTTAAAATTGAGGAAGGCTTGCAGCACAATTGAAATCCACATGTAACATTCTTGATTTTGTAATCCATTTTGTAGTTGCTCTTCCAATTGTATTTACCCTTTTATATTCTTTGTTTTTCAATCAATCACACCAACACTTTCTCAGCAATGGGTTTGCCACGTAAGATTTCTTTTTAAAGTAGAAGCTGATATTTACATTGTGCCAAAGTATATAGATTTTTAGAAAAGCATTATTGAAAGAATGGTGGTTTGTCCTTTAGGTAAAAGATACATGCTAAAAATAATAGCTATGCTCTCACATGACCAGTATTTGTTAGCAATACTCCTACGCTTTTCAATTCACTCTTCTGTTTGCTTGGGTACATTCAATTTAAATAATGGTTGGGCAACAGTAGGGATACTCAAGGATCTAATAGTTTGATGTCCTGTCAATGCAAGGTGTGACTCTGGAAAACAGGGGATAAGCTAGAAACAAAGGACTGGAAATGAATAGAGTTTCAATGTGCAGAACCACACACCTTGCAAACGAACCCATCTTCAGAAAAGAGGAAACTTGGGAGGAAATTTTTCAGCAGAGAAACCATGTAGCTAATTCTGTTTTCTAGAAGAGTTCATTTTGATAGTGACATGGGAGATATTTGGGAGGAGATTCCAGAGGCAAGAAGGTTCATTTAGAGGGTGCTGTGATTGTATACCTAAGGTAGGAGGTGATGAAAACAAAAGGGAGGTAGGTGATGTATTTGGGAGACTTTCTCAGGTAAAATGAGAAGACGCCCTCTTCTGACTTGATGGGGACAGCTGAAGATGGGGAAGACCGTCTAGATAGCTGGAGGAATAATGATGCTGCCATTGGAGGTAGAGGAAGGTAAGTCAGCTCAAGAGGAAAAATGATTTAAATTTTGGAAGTGTTTGCAGGGCCTGGAAGAGATCCAGGATCCAGTAGTTTTTCATACTATATGAGTAAGCTCTTCAACAAGACAATAAGTTTCTTTAGGAACTTTCAGAGGAGGTACTTGACAAATTATAAACCCTTACCTCACTCGTGTAGTATTTATCTTTCTTTGTCATTCTCCCATGGACAGGTTGTTGAAAGGAAGCTAATCTTTTGGCAACCTTACACTTGGAATGTTTGTGTCAGGAGGAGAGTCTCCTGCTAAGTATAGAGCTATATGTTACAGGAGAAAGAGCGTGAACTTCTGCGTCTGACAGACCTGGGATAAAATCTTTGCTCTATGACTTACTCGCTGTGTAACCTTGGCCAAATCACTTGACCCTTCTGGGTTCCAGTTCACGACAAGAGAAACAGAGCTAAAAATCCCTCACAGGGCTGTTGTGAAGATTAAATAAGATAACACAGGTAAAGTGTTGGTCAGATTAGTTATGTGTTAGGTATCCAACAGATGGTGGCTGTCCCCATTACTATGAAAGGGGATACGCTGCCAGCTCTATAAATAGCAAAGCAAATATAAATAACATTGAGAAGTTCCTGGCAATCCATCTAAATACTACAGTATTTTAGTGTGCTTCGTATGTACCTGGTTAAGCCTGTCCAGAGTTACTGTGATTTTTCTCACTTTATAGATGAGGGAGCTGAGATCCAGAAAGTCAGTAGTTAAGGACTTTTCCAAGTCATGTTACTTTCAGAACAGTTGTCAACAGCAAAATACTCTTGGATTGTTTAGTAAGTGGAACTAAAATACAAATGCCTGTTTCTATCAGTAAGAAGTAAGGGTGTGCATTTTCCTTTGTTAATTCTTTTACCACTATGTTTTCCTAACTACAACAATCATATGTACTCTTTATGGAGCACTTAGAAAGTACAAAACAGCATGAAGAACAATATAAAAGCCGTAAGAGCCATCCACCCAATTAACCTATCTCTATCATGGATGTGTGTTGTATATTTCAAATACACAAACCACAAATATGTAGCGCACTTTCTGGGAACCTATTCTTAATGATTAAGAATCCTTTTCCACTTGCAATTACATTGTGAACATTTTGTTATTTCATTTTATCTATTTGAAATTATAAGTTTGATATCCACATCATATTTTTTCACTCAACTTACAAATGATTCTGTTTTTACTTGATTTAAGTATGGAAATGCGGAATGAATTACTCTAGGTAAGGGTTCATTTGGGGGATTTATTGTTTTTCTTATTATTTATCTAGATGCTAAGAAGACTCAGAAATGCATTTTTAAAAATTCATCAAAAGACTTCAGTAACAGAACACATATGTTTCTTTAATGTTATTATCTTACACAAATAATTTTAATAAACTTTAGACGAGTGGACAGCTTGAGATTCTTCAAGAAAGAAACATGTTTCTTAGGTGATATAATGTCTGCCGTGCCCTATCCCTCAAGGAAATTATTTTTCAGTTGAAAATGACAGGGATAACATTTTAAAATTTTTGTATGTCAGTTAACAATAAAAGAGCTTCAAGATAACAAACAGTATTTTTTGACTAATGATACAAAAATATGTTTATAGAGCTAAAAAAAAATTCAAGTTGGTTGCATTGTCTGAGTTTGGGATCAAGAAAGAAAATGTCAGCCTCTGAAACTAAGGCTAACATGAACCGATTACCCATTTATGGTAGTATTACCAACAGATTACCCATTCATGAAAGTACTAGTGATTGTGTTGGCAATAATCATAGGATTCCTCCCAAATCTTAGTAAATGAGATAGAAAATCTGCCTGAAAAGAAAGCTGTAATTTTAATACACAACGAACAGGAATCTGGAAAAATACAACCTGCCTCGCATGAGAAAGGATTATCCTTAATGATGGCTTGGGTGATTGTGACGAATATCACAAAGAAGAGTTGGAATGCCAAGATCTGACAGTGTGTCCCAAGTGCCCGACTGAGTCAGCAGCACATGTGTTCCAGGCCTCTTCACAAGTTTGGGCAAGGGAAGGACCGTGCATGTGTCAGTCCTGCTAGTTGTTTACCACACTGTTCTTTGCCCTCCAGGTGCAGAGCTATGCTCTTTTGAGTTAGCATATGGTTAAGACCTGCTCATAAAATAGGACAGAAATAATGTGTGCACTTCCAGGGTCGGTCCTTGTATTATCTTCCCTGGATTCTTCCCAGATGCAAAAGTTCCAGCAAGGGATTCTACTGTCTCCAGGAACCATAAGGAGACAAAGTTTCTAAGTCATTATTTAATGGAGAACCAGTACAGAATGGTTAACAGGTCAAGAGTACCTCGTTTAAACTACTGCATGAATAAGAAACATTTATTGCATCAAGCTACTGTTGACAGTTTCTAAGTGCAATAATTAGACTCACCTGCCTAACACAATATATCATGTTATCACAGATTGATGACATCTTTAAAATAATTGATTCACCTGAACTCTCCTCTAATCCTTACTAAGTAAACTATTTTCTTGGAAGAGATACCTTATTGGCTGACATGAGTATTCTGGTACACTCAGTCAGTATGTTTTATCTGTGTAAATTAACAAGTTAGCATTCTTGGTTAATCTCTTGTATGTTTGGCTAAGGTGAATAAATCTTCCAAGACTTCATTAACCAAGGATGAACTCATGAATCAGCACAACTGAATCCATCACCATCCAATCAAAGTTTGCACATTCCATGAGGCTTAACTTAAAAAAAAAATTAAAGTCCTTACCCTTTGTCATTATATACAAAAATCTATACTTGTTATGTTTGTGTTAAGTTTGGATGTTACTTTTTAATAAGTCTTATTTTTATGAGAGTCAGAATTTGGTTATCTGAACTCTCCAGAGTGCAGCCACAAATCTGGAAATCTAAATCAGCATTACAAAGTCCACACTATACCCCAGGCCTTCAAATCTCTTCAGAACCTGAGACTTAGTGAGTGTGCTTGGAAACCCACTTTTTAGTAAGACTGGCTGTATGACAACTTTTAATCCATCTAAATATTGGAAAGGAGAAAATTAAAAGCAAACAAGAGGCATTTATTTGGCATAGAAATGTAGATGCAACCTGGGTTGTCCACATAGACTATCAGAGTGCCCAGGTTGTAGTTTCAACTCTACTCTCCGTTGCAGCTGCTTGCTCATGTGCACTCTCAGGAGCATTAGGCAATCGCTCAAGCAGTTGGGTCTCTGTCACCTGCATGGGAGACTCAGAAAGTCTCAGATCCTGGCTCATTCCTGGCTGTGACAGGTATTTGGGGAGTGAACGAAAGAGTGGAAAACTAGCAGTCTAACTCTGTTTCTTCACTTTCAAATAAATAATACTTTTTTTAAGTGCAGAAAGATGATAGGCTACTAAAAGTAGATGCATCAACAAAAGCCAAAATAGCAACCAACACTAAATGTAAGGACAAAGCAAAAAATACAGACAGCTTCTGAAAAAATAGCAGTCAGGGGCAATTTTTCAGTAAATAAAAACTGTAAAATCTTAGGATGTGCAAGTTTGTCTTTTGGCAATAGGGCAGACAGGGACAACAAACATGATGTGTAGTTTGTGTGTTCAAAGAGTTTACAATTTACTTCAAAAGAGAGGAGCATATTTGAAAATTAAATAATAATTTTGTTTAAAATATGAAGTGATAATATTTGGAATCAGATTGATGAAACTGACAGAATAAAATACATGATAGAAATAGGAAGAGAGATCATTCAGATCAGTGGAAAGAACCAGAAAGGGTCTTTTTCTTTCTCATTAGAAATGACATGTTGTCATTATTTTAATTCTTAAATTATCACGTACAATGCAAACTCAAATAAAAGACCTGGGGGAAAATCCCACAGTCACCTGGGGAATTTCTAGCTGATGACTCATTATCAAAGAAACCAGGAGGAGGAGGTAGGATTGTAACCTGAGCTGGTTGCCCATTCAGTACACTGAGGACACATTAGTCATCTGGGCTGGATCGCTGGAGATGGCCTCCAACAGGAAACAGGAACTTACTGCGGAGCCTAAAAATGGAGCAGGCACTTTGAAGTAGGAAGGGCTGCCTAGTTTGCTTCTGGTTAGGTGACTAGTCAGGATTCTGAAGCTTCAGATAAAGGGAGATTTGTGATCCCAGCTCTGTGACTATCAGAGCCTCTTTATTCATTTGTTTATCCATTCATTCATTCAATAGACAATTGTTTGAAGCTTGCTGGAGATATAGAACAACAACAACAACAAATAAGCACCATTTCCTCCAGGAATAAGTTTTCCAGGGGAAGAGGAGAAGCAGCCAGGTCAATAGGTTCAGAAAACAAAACAAAAAGACCCTGTCAGATGTACTGCACCAACCTGAGGGTAGAGGGAGCTGGAAGTTCTGTCTCTTTCATATCAGGATCCCATCCAGAGCACGCAGTCCTCCACACTTGGTCTGTCTTATCACCCGTTTAAACTCTGCCTTTAGCCCTTGCCTTCTCAGCGCAGATTCTTTTTTCTTTAGTAACTTTCCCTGAACCATCAAATCTGGCCTAGAGCTTCTGTTGAGTGCCCTTGTCCATCAGCACTACTGCCAAGGCATGGACCACAGTATTGTATCTGTCCCCTGACCCAACCTGAGATGATAATCTGCACAAGCGTAAAAATTGTGTGCCTTGTTTTGCTTTTCAGCAATATACTCAGGCCTACTTTCTGTGCCAGGCACATGAGTTAGGTTACAAAAACTTCTTGAAAGAATTCATGTTCTCACAAAGGATTAAATTAATTATCCCAACTATTCTTTCTTATAAGTCCATGATGACAATAGCAGTGGATGTAAACTCTTGAAATGTATCTCATGAAGTCTTTGAGTTAGTTTTAGTTACATGGAAAATCCACATGTGTAGAAATTTTCTTCTGTGAAAATATTGGGTAATGTGCTAAGATGAGTGGATTATTCATGTTTTTAAATTTGTAAACAAAACAAAGCCAGCAGCTCTTGAGACATTCTTCCACTCTCAATTGGACACAGTGCCAGTGGGGGACTGGGGAACAGGTTACAAGAGTTAAACTAATGCACTGAAAACTCCAGCTGGAACCCTCGCCTGTGCATTATACCTTTGTCAGTGCTTTTATACATTTTGAATAGTCTCTTATCCATTTTTTCCAATTTCCTTTGGCAAACATGCTTACAAGTAAGAAAATGGTTAGTCCTCCAACACAGCATAAACCCATGTAAGATACGAAGATGAAATGGCATTGAAAAAAATCCAGAATGGTTAGCTGGGATGTAACGGTAACTGGTAAATGGCAAACGGTAAATGGCAAAGAGAAAGTTTGGTTGTAATAGTAATTCTACCAAGAAGGCTCCGATTTTTCTTCTTTAATAACTTCCACTGACCCTTTTGTGATTTTTTTTTCTTGCTTTACTATCATGGAGTTTAAAAAAAATCACAAAAGAATATCCAAACATGAGAAAAAATCCACTGAATCTACAAATACATTTACACACAAATGTAATTGCTTAGAGCAACATTCATCATAATGGAAATCAAGCAGAAATTATCTAAATGTCTATTCACTGAAAAGTAGATAAGTAAAAGATGGTATTTGGCATTCAAAAGAATTAAATACTGTTAATGCTGTAACATGGATGAAAATTGAGAAGATGCTGATTGAAAGGGCAACCACAGAATAGCACATGCATGATTTACACAAATATCTAGAATAGGCAGATCTATACGTAGACCGATCAGTGGTTGCCTAGGGCTGGGGTGTGAGAAGATACAGAAATGAGACCTAAAGAGTATGTGAGTATTCCTGAGGTGATGAAATGCTCTAAGACTGACTGTGGTGATGAGCTGGTGTGGCTGTGAATACAGGAAGAATCATCAGGTTGAACATCTTAGAAGTAAATAGCACGGCATATGGATTATATCTCAATAACATTGCTTTGAAAAAGCAATCTACTGGTATCAGGATAAAAATGTACTTGCTAGGAAAGATCATCTCTAATTATTATTATAAAGAGTGTGTATAAAGGCTGCATGATCTGCTTAATCCTTGAGAAACCCTAGGTGAGAGTCTACACCAAGTGTTGTTGGGAAACCAACTCCTCATGTGACTCAGTGAAGCAGTCTAGTTTGTCCTGGATAATAAAAGGTTTTAAAACAAAAAGCAGTAAATCACAGTTAAAATATAAGCAGCAGAATTCTTGGTGTGTTAACACCTGTCTTTTTGTCTCAGTAACCTGGAAGTCTGTGACAAGGCTTTTTTGTTTGTTTATAACTCCCAAATTTCACAAGTAAGGGAAAGACAAGCTAATAGAGCTAAGATGCAGAAACGTATCTTAACAAAGTGATTGGAGCTTTAAAAAAATCTCAGGCCTGTCACACAACATTCTAAGACATTTAGTGACTTATTTATCTGACATAAAGTAAAAACAGAAAAGAAGGGAAAAAAAGGGAGTGAGAGGAGTCTTGTCATGGTTACATATGCGACTCTTTGAATATGGACACTTACTATTATACAACTTGCAGTAGATCACTAGAAAGAATATCTCAAAGTAGAGAAGCTCTCATTATAGAAAAAGATTTGGGAGTCATCATAAATCATTTAAGTGAAATTTATGTAAATTCCATCTTTATTGTTGCTTCTTTCTACTAACATTAATGTAAATTGATTCAAAGAAATAAATTAATTGATAATATTTACCGGCACTTTGTGATCTATTGAAGACTGTAATTTCTGATAGAGTGTTCTGAGTCCATCTCACAGGAATATTCCATGTGTAACTAAAATTTGGAAAAAAGGGAGAGTTTAACGTTTATTACTTAAAACATAAGAAAAGTGTAAAGAACAATAGAATAGCATATAATCCTTATAAATGATAGTATATCATTAATACAGTTTATAGTGATAAAGCCACACAATTAATACAGTTAATAGTGATCAAAGTGATAGTTTGTAGAACTGTTCTCAATTTTTATACATCGATGTAAGCATTGTTATCAAAGCATTAGCCAAGGAGGAACATGGTTGTTAACATAAAATGTTTTGAGGCTTTGGAAGAAAAATACTGCGTTAGTTGCACAGACAAAGCACTAAAATAAACTACCGAGTATCCACACACACACATCAACAGTCTAATGTAGTTTTCATCAAGCAACAGAAAGGATTTTAAGAATTCTGAAGACAATCTGGAAACCTCTGAGAACAGCACCTGTTGGAAATTACACCACCACCATCTTCTGAAGCATCTCCTGCTCTTCTCTAACTAGAACTTATTTGCAGCGAAGAGAAGGTGTGCTCCAAAGGAAAACCCACCAAGTAAACATGCTTCAGGAGTTTTCAGTTGTTCTGTTTAGCTACTCAGTACTTTTTCACAGAGCAGGGGCCAGGGGTAACTTGTATTTTCATCTAATATTTATTTAACATTTTAGTCTCAAAATCTCATAAAAGAGATCTTAAATATCTTTTTGAAGGCTTGTTGTATCATTTCATGTATCAGAACATGCAGGTGATCTAGAGGGAAAATGAACTAACCTTCCATTGGCTGGTTCTGCTTGCAACTCAAAGTAAGTTTATCTGTCAACATTCAATCCTCTAACAGAATTAGGGTTGACATTTTTCCTTTTCAAGATGTAATAACTTTTATGTCATTCAAGGCGAATATAGTTTTGCTATCTACATGAAAGAAGCAATCCTTTGTTTTATAACTTTTGAAGTACATTACTGGATAGGGGTTTTTCTCTCTCCTTTGTGTGTTTTATTGCAGTGCGATGTTTTTGGCTATAAGTTTCATAAAACAAACACATAAATTGTTTCTTGAGTCCTGCAGCTGACTTAGCTGGTGCTTCCCCCTGATTCCTTGAATCCCTTTACCATTTGTGAACACCCACACCCCAGTAGTGCACCTCACTCCTGATAACAAACACCCAGGTGTCACTGTCAGAGAAGGCGGCTTTCAAGCTACCCGAGTAAGGAAAGCCAGGTTATCTTGAGAATTTACATTCTCCTGGAAGCGGCCATTTGCAAACACTGATGGGTGTGATCTGTCCATCTGTGCACCTGCTCCACAGTCTAGTGCAGGACTGAGCCAGTTCCCCTGGCCGCAACCTGCCTCACTGGGCACCTTTCTTGGGCTTTCATCCCTTCTCTCTCCCACTCCCAGGCTACTAGCATTCTTCGATTCACTGCACAGTGAGCCACTTGCATCAGTCCGACCAGCTGAGTCTGCCTTCTGAGCAGTGAACCTCAGAATCCTTACAACTTATCAAATGAGAGGTAAAAGGGGATTAAAAGAAGAAGCCACATTCAGCCAACAGAGTTCACTTTTTCACTGTCCTGGTGACATAGGGCTTAGGTGTCCTGGGTGACCCGTCTGTACCGTCAAGATTTCCTACTCTATTTCCTCTCCAATGCAGTCTCTAGGTCTACATCATGCCTAAACAGGGCAGAGGAATTTCGAGTAAGTCATGTACAGAAATTCTGTCCCAAGGTTTTGAGAGTCTCATGAGATAAAATAATAGAAGGCTGAGGCAACAATTTTATAAATTTAGAATCACAGTTCCTAATCTAATCCTAATGAAATATCATCGTGGAGAGTATAAAATGTCAAGAATTATAAATAATAAAATCATAAAATCTCCTGCATATTATCCAAAAATTCAGAAGCATCAGTAATTTTTTGTTTGTTTTTAAGATTTATTTTACTTCTTTGAAAGGCAGGCCTATGGACACAGAGAGAGACAAAGAGAGAGAGAGTTCTTCCATCTGCTGATTCACTCCCCAAATGGCTACAACAGCTAGGGCTGGAGCCACAAGGTCCATCCAGGTCTCTCACATGGGTGCATGAGCCCAAGCACTTGGGTTATCTTCTGCTGCTTTCCCAGGTCACTACTAGGGAACTGGATTGTAAATGGAGCATCTGGGACACTAGCAGGCAACCCATATGGGATGCTGGTGTTAGAAGCAGTGGCTTTAACCATTACACCACAGTTCCAGCCTTCAGAACTCCAGAACACATAGCAATCTTATGGTATTAAATACAGCCGACCTACATTCTCTAAGGAAGCTGAATTTGCTGGCATCAACAAGTCTCTCCTACTTTCATTCTGCCCACGTACACTGACTGCAGTATGACAATGAAGCAAGTTACCAGATAGAGCCAGGCATCTGAAGGAGAGGTGCAATTGGTGCATTTAAGACCTGGTTGGGGGTCACAGTTAAAACAATAACTTCTGCATTCATGGGCCGTATGAGTTATAAAAAGACCCTGGTCAGTAAGATTGCCCCAATCTTAGATTATAAAAATAATAACAAATAATAATTATTACTTTAATAATAATAAGTAAGAAGTAGGAAATCATTCAACTCATAATATAACTTTCATTGACCTTATTGGCTACCAAATGGGAATGTGTCTGAATGGAAAAAAGTTGAACCTGGGGGCCGCAGGAAGGGCTCATGAAGGCATGTATTAGAATGACTTTTTCTTCCACAGTAGGAAACAAACATCACTTTTGTTGTAATGTGTGTCATTTTTTTCAAGCGCTATCACTGACTTACATGTTCTTAGCAAGGAAGAACAGAACTTCTATGATTCTTCTCCTGTACATAAGTTACTTTTTTAAAGTGGGATTAGTATATTAACTTTATGAATAGTTATCTGAGAGATCACACATCTACACATCTGAATAAGATGAAAATGGCATGTGAATGTGAAAAAGTGTAAATATTAAGGTCGTTCTTTGTTCTTAGTCATATTGAATAAAAGCAAAAGATTTATTACTTCAAAAAGTGGTCTTTACAAGGGAGGATACATTTAGTTCATGTAGTGATAAAATTTTCCATATGGAGAGGAATTCACAGTCAAGGAATTGTTAGAAAATGCAAGCTCATGGACTTACAACCAGTGCTGCCTGGCTTTTGACTTAGCAAGTCAGTGCACCTGAGTGGTAGGCAGGACCATCTGCTAGGAAACTTTCCCCATGGACATGTGTTCCCCAAGAGAGACATTTACAAAGTTTTAATATCCAAAGGCTCTAAAAGTATTAAATATGACCCGCCTAATCTATTAGAATATAAAACAATAACTATAAAAAAATCTGTGCAGTTTCTGACACAATTACAGAAATTATTGTAGTGGTTTGTGTAACTGAATAATCACCTGAAAAAAAGTCAGATTTCAACTCACGTGTCATGAAGAGGGAACAATAAAAAACAAAGTGGGTTTCTCTTTTGTAATCTTTCCTCTCTAAAATAAAAAAGGGCAAAGAAGTACATCCAGACCTCAGTCTGGCCTAGGCGTGCGGATTTTTCTTGGTTTGGGTGTGAACTATTCATTTTCAGAACTTGCATTACAACAAGACATCCAGTTTCTCTGAGCTTAACTTCCTGTGAGGGATCTGAGTCCCAGAGGTGTCCAGGGAAGCCCTTGATGAGCCTCAACAAGGTGACCACAATTGATCTTCACCGTGTCTCCCGAATCCAGGTACCAGGAAGTAGCTAACTTAATAATCATGAACACTCGGCCTTCTAAGAAGAGAAAGTGCTTCATCAGCTTTCAGTTTTGAAAGCACCTAAATGTGTTGGTAATGTGACTTCATTTCCCAAGTTCCAGATTGCAAGCCACTGGTTCATTTAAGAGGACTGCAGCAGCCCAAGCTGGGCCAGGCTGAAGCCAGGAGCCTAGACATCAATCTAGCTCTTCCAGGTGGTTTGAGCTATCACTGCCCCCAGGATATGCAGCAGCAGGAAGTCAGAATCAAGAGCTTAAGACTGTTTTCAAACAGGTGCTCTGATACAGGACATAGATGTCCCAGTTGGCAAAACCATCAGGCTAAATATTTGTATTGGCTTTGTAATTTTAATTGAAAGGCTTAGAAAATGCTAATGCAATATCCCAATTTTGACGCTTAGAAAAATTCATTTGCAGAATTAAATATTTGATTTCGACATGATACAATGTCTAAGAATTCTGATAAATTACATTCGAGTTTCAATTTATCAGAGTCAAAAAAATACGTAAAAATGGTAACATTAGATTTACAGATCTGTTTCTCTAGGTGTTTATATTCTGAAATTGAACTTGAATTTAATAAAATGTTAACTAGTGGTGCTTGGAAGAAATGTATCCTTTTAAATGATATGTGCAGGATAATTTAAATTCTAAATGTTATCTTACATACCCAGGAGAGTTGGTACAATTTGTAAATAAATTAAATCTAAAAAAGCTGATGCTGAAAAGCCACGGTCTCTTTATCCAGCTCTCCCATAGCCCTTTTCCCAGAAGTACCCTATTTCAAATGCTTCCGGACTTAGTTCTGCAGGCTAATGATGACTCTTTTTTTTTAAAAAAAAATTATTATTATTATTTTATGAAGCAAAGATAGAGTTAAGAGCTCCCCTCTGCTGGTTCATTCCCCAGACGCCCACGAAGGACAAGACCAAAGTCAGGAGCTAGGAACTCCATCCGTTTCTATGACCTGGGTGGCAAGTCTTCCTTTTTCTGGAGATCACCCACCGGAACGCCAGCCATTCTGCCCTGACAAGTGCCCATGGTATTAGGTACACTTCCCTTCATAGCTTTTCACGTTGGAGGTCCTGTATGCTGGATTCCATGTCTTCTTCATTTCTATAATGCTTACCCTCCATTTCCCATATCTTTTTCTTTCCCTTTCACCTAGCCTTAAGTAACTTCAAAGTGGAAAGGATTTTCTGGGGCTGCAGGTCTGAAAGTCTCCTACTTATTCTTTCATACTTGGTTTAGTTTGAATGGATATAGATTTATTAAGTTGAAAACACTGGGAGGGGGATGAGTGAGTGTTTGGTACAGGGATTAAGACACCTGCATCCCACATTTGAGTGCCTAGAGTGGAGACCCAGCTGAGCTTCCAATTCCAGCTTCCTGGTAAGCTGCACCCTGCAAGGTATCAGGTGATGGCTCTACTAGTTGGGTTTCTGCCACCCTTGTGGGGAATGTGGATTGAGTTTCTGCCTCCTGGTTTGGGCCTGACCCAGCCCCTGCTGTTCAAGTGTTTGGAGAACAAACTCATTGACGGTAACTCTGTCTCCATGCCTCTGCCTTTCAAATGAAAAAATTAACTATGAGCTAATTTATAAAAGACACATACCTGTTGAAAAATATGTCTTAATTTGATATTTAGGAGGTATTTTTCAATTCTGTTACATTCAGGGTTGCTATGGAATGTCTAGTGCATGCTAAGCTCTAGACCATATTTTCTGAATTTTCTTTATCATATCTTAAGTGTAATCCATTCCTCAAGCATTCATTTTCTGTCAAGGGATCCTCTTTATTTTGGTGCTATATTATCATAATTTTCTTTCACATTTGCCAGTTGTACACATATTCGTCCTACATTCTTTGAGGATTTCTCAAGTTAATTTCTACTTGGCATATTTTTTTAACCAGAGATTTAATCTTCCAGGCCTCTTTGGCATTTCATTTCGTTTTTCTAAGATATTCTACTCTTAAAGAGTATAATTGCTTTTTTGATCTCTGAATGTATTTCATAATTTTTTTCCTATTTCTTCAAGCATGTATCTTACAGAATCAAGGCTTTTTTTTGTTGTTGTTGTTGTTGTTTCTTTATTTTTCATGTAAAATTATAAGTACTTGAGTCACTGTTTTCCAAGTAGGAGATCTGATTGGAGATGCAGAGTCCTGGTTTAGTCTTTAGCTGTTGTGGGACCTGGGGTTAAACCAGTGGACACGTAGCTCTGCCTGGCTGCCTCCACCTTTCTCTCTTTCTTAGCCTTTTAAATAAATGACAAAATGAATAAATGAATAAGTAAGTGTACCAGTGGAAAAACTAAATAGTTAACTCTTAGTGACTTTCTTGTAATCTCCCTACCATGGGGGCAGGACCTATATTTTGGAACAGACTTTCATGCAAAACAACAGGTGTGACTGGACACTTCATCCATATTTGAGGGGGACAGGGTTAGGGCTGAGATTAGGATTCGGTTAGTTAGGGTACTGACTTATGCCAGAAATGCCACATCTGGGCTTTCCATCCCAAGGGAAATCCTTAGCTCCACACCACTGTCCAAGTTAACTGATTTAGAAGACAAGTTCTCTGGATTTTTGTCCAAGGTCATGGCCAGATTTCTGAGAGTTCTGTACAGAGAAGGGATTGGGAGCAGACGGAAAGTGTGAGGGGCAACGCCCACAGGCACAGCTGTCCTAAGCGTAAACTTGAAAGTGCCCTGCTCCAGGCTCATTCCTCACCCTGGGCCTTCACGTTCATGCTTCCCCCAGTCCCCTTGTAATATTTGCCACTCTCTGTCCCCTTACTGCTATTCTTCAGGGTGTTTGTTCCCTGTCCATACATCTGTGAATTATCTTCCAGCATCCTATAATACTTGTGGTTCTCCTTGTTAGTTTCTTGGTATCTATCGGGGTCCCTCGTCCCGCGAGCAAAACCCCGATACGGTAAAGACTCTTTAAAAAGTTTATTGGTCAAGACTTCAAGCGTAGTGGCAAAGAAAAGAAAAGAAAGAAAAAGTTGCAACAGTTGTAAGATTTATTACAGTGAAGCGATTACAGCAGAACCTTGAAGCATGCCCAGGGGAATCTCCTTTTAACCATTTTCTTACCCACACCCTTTTACATTGCACAAACCAATCCATACACAGCTCCTCACATCATGTGGTAAGCACACCAATCATGACTTAGGTCACGTAGCTTCCCTGCGTGCTCGGCCCAATCCTCAGTAACTTCCCAAAACCTGTTTACCACCTTTGTGCCACGAAGCAATGGTCAGCAAGCGCCATCTTTGAGGCGCGGCTCCGCTCTCCACAGGTATCCTCACGCTTATTTCTTTCAGTGTTCCTGTTTCTGTGTACACAGTGATATCTGGAGGAATGGGGCACAGGTATGTGTGTGTGTGTGTGTGTGTGTGTAGCCACCCTATAAAACCTGGAGCCCATTCAGCTGTTTTTGAATCCCTGTGAGCCATAAAGGTACTGCAAGTTACATCACTACCCATCAGTCACATCTCAAGCAAATGGCCAGTACTTCTGCCACAGTGATGTTTCCTTTTGAAATGCCTGCTAGAAAGCCTTACCCAAGTTCTGAGGGTGGCTGGGAAGGGTCAGCATTTGAGTCCAACAGGAAGCGGCGTTGTGTGATATGGCTCCTGTTACTCACGCTGAGCACCGGGTAGCCCATCTGTGTGGTCCAAGTGTTCATTACTTCTGCCACTGGAAGACCACTCGCCTACAATTGTAAAGAAGGTGGAGATGAATAGAGTAACAAAATAAAAAATAGCCTAATCGGATAAATGACAAATAATACTTGAACTAGGCAAAGAAGATTTGAGAGATGTGTACTTCCTTACCTCCTCCAGGGCTTTCCAAAAATCTGAAGTTTTTGCATTTTGAAAATGGAAATTTTCCAAGTACCTCTGGCAATAAAAGATGACAAATATTTTGGAAAACAAAGTTAGCTTTTCTTTTGCTTTCACAACACGAACTGAACACACACAACTACTCAATTCTGCTGCCTCCCCCCGAATAAAGCCAGCCAAGACGATGTGTGCATGAATGGGTGCAGCCCTCTGCCCATAAGCCATTACCCGTGCACACCGACTTTGCATCTCTCCTCATTTCTACATTATGAAATGTTCTTCTTTTGATTTTTCGCAAACCATTTGAAAATGGGGAAACCTTCTTGCCGTCTTGGATCCTAAGTCACGGGCAGTCAGCCACGTGCAGCCTGCAGGTAGGGGACTGTCAGACTCAGCTCTGCAGAGATGGAGAAACTCTGTTTTGAATAACGATGATGCAATGATGGATGGACTGAGAGACTATTTGCCTTAGAGAACAAAGTCTTTACTCTTCAAGTATTTTGAAAGCATCCAACTTTCAAGTAGGAGTTTTCTGCTTTAGGTAATTCTCTTCAGCAAACCTTTCACTAAGGAGTTTTCAGATAAGATATGATTTATCCACAGAATTTCCCTGAATGCCACTTGGGGTTTCCACAGCTCCCATGGTCTCCTTGTTGCTACTTTCTAGAATTGCTCCATTTCAAGCATGGAGGTTTTGGCACAAACACTCATAGAACCTTCTTAAGTGATTAACTGTGTACACACTGTTTTTACTCTCAGTTGCTGTAATTGTCACACCCAAGTCACAGTATCTTCTGCTTCCTCTTTTTTTTTCAGGCACCGAGGGGGTTGGGTGGGAGCGAGAAAGAGAATAAGACTATCCGCGTTCTAAGTAATTTGGATAACGGTTGAGGTCAGCTTGGAGTCTCCGTATTTGTTTTTACTAAATCACTTCTTCACACTGCCACTAGAGGGCAGGCAAAGGCAGGGAGAAGAAGCAAATGCTATTTGTCACTTTCGGGTGACCAACCCAGAAGGGTCCATGCCATTCAATGCATCTTAATAAAATAAATGGGCACTCAAAATAATAATAATTATAACCATATGTTAATGACAGTTTCTACAGAATGGTAGCTTCTGAAAATTACAGTGGCAGAGTTTCCCTTACTAGGAGACATTTTGCGATGTTTTGAGCCACCTGCAGTCTGGGGACTAGAAGGCTGCTTACAGCACTTGATGCAACTCCCGTATTGTGGAGGTGAAGACCCCTGCCCAGCCTAGCTGTCTGAGTGCCTGCAGAGGTGCAGGGATTTATCCGAGATCACGGTGAGTAGAATTCCCAATCTCGGGTCAAAGCTTTTAGTCTGTGTCATCATTCTTGTTGCAATGCATCGCATTGGCTAGATGAAAATTTGCATAAAGAGGGTGATAACAGTGCTAGCTTATCCCTGCTGGTTGATATCAGTGCTTTGGAACTCTCTATGTGGAGAAAGCCCCTCCTTCACCACCCTGCATCATCACGATGCAGCCGTTCTCATGGAAAACCACGTCGTCCCGTAGGCTGCAGTTGATTAGCTGGCACCGGGGAGCGCACAAGGAAAAGAACGTCTCTGTTCCCGGGGAGCCAGAAAGGGAGAGGACGCTTTTCAACAGACTCGTTCCTGTCATCTCAGGGATACCCCCGATAGTGCAGAAAATCAGAAGGGTGGAAAGAGTTTTCAGTTGCTATTTTGTACCCACATTTGGTTATGAGTGGCCTGTGATCGGTTATATACCTTTTTAAGGACAGTTCAAGGATCAAGGATTTTCCTGTTGATGTGGCTCTTGTTTCCCCTCCTACTCTGCACCTACCTGAGGATGGGTTGAAAGAGAATAAATGAGCCCAAGAAAGGAAGGGACAACCACTACTTCCTGGCCTCACACAGGCGTGCAGGGGCCCAGATCCTTGGGCTATGCTCTGCTGCTTTCCCAGGCCTGGAAGGAAATGGAGCAGCCAGGACACTAGGTGGTGCTCAATGGTGTGCCATCTCTTGCAGGTGGAACATTAGCCACCACGCCAGCCCTAAAGTTCCATATTATTTATTACACATTATTCAGCCATTCTTTCATTTGACATATTTTTAATGGACTACCTAATAGTCATGTGTACAGTGCATACAATGAGGCCTATAGTAGGCAGTTTTGATACATGTATATATGTGTATATGCATATGTACATGTATGTATATATATATATATATATATGAAACTACAGAAGACAGGTCCCTCACGAAAGGCACTTGTGATAGAAAAGACCTGATGAAACCTCAGTTTAAGGCTTATGGAAAAGTAGCAAGACATCTGGCCGACACGTAAGCACCACACATAGCTTCTCCCTTTGCCCTAAATGCCCAGAGAACGTATAGGGACGGACAGAGTAGTGAAATGTATTGTAGCCTCCTCTAAATAGTATTCTTGGTATTGTTACTTTTAATCATCACTTGAGGATATTACTATTGGGCACAAGAGGATCATTTCCCTTTAGGGTAGCACAGAGACAACAAAATGACACGTTTAGAAGGTGTGGCAGTCATGAGCACGTGGCAATGGTGGCACCATCCCCAAGGAATCCTGCCCCAAAGAAGTACTGGTTCTCCTTGTAAAAAGCGGTTGGGGGCACTGCCGCCACCTGTCTCCCGTTTCCAGGCTGGGAATCACCAGCACTGTGATAACCACCTGGAATATCACAGTAGGGAGGATGGAGTGGGAAGGGAAGGTGGGGCGGGAAGATGCTTTCATTGCTAGGAGGCAACGGGGCCAACATGCTGACGGAGCGTTGGCAGGGACCCCTGGAGCTGCTTTGACAAAAACCAAGCCTCAGACAACCACCTTTGTGTCTGTGAGAAGACAAAAAATGAAACTGAAACATCTGCTGGAGTGACGCACCTAAACGGGATGACTGGAAGATTTATTGCCATTTCTGTTTTCAAAAGGAAGCAGCTCTGTTCGCTGACTCTGTCATCAGGAGAACAGTTGTAGTAAACGTTTTCCAACCCAATGAAAAGGAAGACTCTTACATTCATGGTAAGGGAAGACCCCTACAGACACACTTCAGTCTTCCTGTCCCATCGTGTGCCCCGTCTGTGCTCACATGCTAAAGCCCTGACCCCTGATATAATGGCGTTTGGAGATGTCCTTTGGCAGGTACAGAGGTGAGATGTGGTCCTGAGGTCTCACACTCGTGAAGGGACTGGTGTGTCTTGTTATAGCAGCCGGAGCCAAGGCCACTAACTCCCAGGGGAAGGGCTCCCTTGATGATTAGACACAATGTGATCACATTACTGGACACAGTGTCGCCTTTCATCATGTGCTGTATTATCTATCTCTGAGTAAGGAAAGTAATAAGAAAATTATCCTTGATGAAGCACATAGCTTAACACACGCCAGCCATGTCACTGCAGTTTACTTTTAACACCACTAGAAAGAGAAAATAGTACCTGACAGCCTGCTTGAAATTTCTCTGGTGTGATCCAATCTTCAAGCATCCTCAGAATGGAAGCTCCCTATGATGGGAAAAAGATAAATTGAAACAATGATGGATGTGCAAGGGACAAGTTGGATCCTAAGTCATGGGCAATCCTACATGTGATATTATTTCTTTAAGATAATGCTGATGAATGATATGGACAGAGACCTATGAGTTTAAGATGAAAATATTATATGGCACTCCACTACATGTATATGTAAACACATACATGTATATTTACAAAATATTAATATTTTAGTGTTACATATATGTCTAAAATACTGAAAAAGGCCATCATTTAGTAACTTCAAAAATAACTAGTGCACTTCTGCCATTGACCAGCAGATGGAGCTATTCTTAATGAAATAGAAAGAATACCAAAAAACTCAATTCTTTGGTGAATGAAAACAGTTATTTCAGGATAAGAATTCTGCAATTCACTCAATATATTTTCTTACAAGAAAAATAAATATATTTTGTAGATAGAAGTATATAATGAAAAAATCAACACATAATACTATATAAATATTTCATTTAGGCACAAAATTCTTCAGCAACTTTTCAAAAAAAATTAATGGGCATATTTCATAAACAAAGTTATCACATTTTTACTTAAAAATAATAAAAGTAGTTTCTTCCAAGGATTTAAATGTTTGCTGCTAGAAGTAAAGAATTCTACCAGAAAATTCTACCAGATCTGGCATATCTGGTATATCATAGAAAAAGATTAACTGTATTAAAAAAAAAACAAATAAAGCAATTTAAAATTTGATACTTAAAGCCTAAATGTTCAATGATTAGGACTAAAACATTTATAAACAAAAAAGGAAAGAAAAATTTTTAGTAATTGTTTGAAAAATCTCATGGCAATAACCACCAGTTCTACTGAAAGCATGAACTATTGCATGTTTAGCATTCAGGATAAATCCTACCCTATATTCTAGAACCCAATAGCATGGTCTAACCATTCTTCCCACTATTAGGTATCCCAGCTGGGCTAGGTTATAATACCCACCAGCAAGAGCTGAGACTGCGGGCAGGACACACCAGACTGGCTCAAAGTACCCACCAGCACGTGTGAGACCCAGGGCTGGGAAGGAGCCTGACAGAGGGACTCTGTGGACTGCTCTGCTGGGCTGTATCTCCCTCAGACGAGCATGAGAGCCAGGGCTGTGGACAGGCCAGACTGCACTACGCTCCAGCATCCACGGCATTCACAAGAGTCAGGATGGGTGTGAGACACGCCAAGCTAGGCAGCTCACCCGCTGGTCCACATGAGAGCTAGCTTTGGGGTTGGGACAAGCCGGGCTAGTCTGTAGCACCCATCGGTGAGAACCAGAATGGGTTTGGGCCAATGAGGCTAGGCCACAGTACTTGTCAGTGAGTGCCAGCCAGGACTGGGGCTCCAGCAGATCAGTCTGGGATGCAGCACTTGCCAGCATGTGGGGGTTGTTTCCTGAATCAGGTCTGGTAGGAGAATTTGGGGAACTCACCATCTAGACCTCAGCTCCTGCTCCTGAATGTGTGAGGAAATGCTGGGGGCAGGTCAGACCAGGCTGAGCTGCAATGCCCATTGTCATTAGTGTGGGCTGGGTCTGGGAGCAGGCTGGACAGCTCAGTTCACAGCACTCACCAGACTGAGTGAGAAGCAGAATGGGGTGTAAGTTGGGCTGCACTGGACAGCAACATGCACCAGTCACTTGAGAGCTGCGGGTGGGAGAGGGCCAGACTGGGCTAGGCTGCTCTGTCTGCTGACAAGACTTGGACTGGGAGAGTCTGAGATGGTAGCCTAGTGACTAAAGTCCTCACATTCAATGTGCTAGATCCCATGACAGATGGTTTGTGTCCCAGCTGCTCCACTTCTTTTGCAGCTCCCTGCTTGTGGCCTGGGACAGCAATCAAGGATGGCCTGAAGCCTTGGGACTCTTCCCGCACATGGGAAACCCAGAAGAAGCTCCTGGACTTTGGTTTTGGATCAGCTCAGCTTTGGCTGTTACAGCCACTTGGGGGTGAACCAGCGGATGGAAAATCTTTATCTATGTCTCTCCTTCTCTCTGTAATTCTGCCTTTCCAATAAAAATAAATAAATCTCTTTTAAAAATTGGACTGTGGACAAGCTGAGCTGAGCCAGGCTCTGGGAGCGGGCCACCTCAGACAGGGCTGCAGCACCTGCTGGCAAGTCTAAAACCTAGGGCTGGAAGCTGGACTAGAAGGGGAATCTCCAGGACTCCTCTGTTGGGCCACTGTTTCTACAGGTGAGCAGGAGAGCTGGGACTTGGGACAGACCAATACAGGCAGAGCTGTACCACCCATCAGCTAGCATTTGGGCTGGGCGAGGCTGGGCAAGGCTGCTGTACCCACTGACAAGTGCCAAGACCAGGTAAGAGCCATGTCAAGCTAGACCCAGTACCCCCAGGTAGGCACAAAATTTACAGCTGGGAGCATACTTGGCAGGGGAACTGTGAGCACTCCCTTGCTAGCCATATCTCCTATTGCTGAATATGAGAACCAGGGCTGTGGTGGGTAAGGCTGGGAAAGGCTGTAGCAGCTGTTGTTATATTTATGGGCCAGGCTGGGGTTGGGCCAGGCTGAGCTAAGCTTCAGTACCCATGGGTGTGCTGAAGAGCTTGATGGGATGTGGGCTGGGCTAGACTAGGCCACAGCACATGCCAGGACAGGCAAAAACGAGGTCTGGGGGCAGGTCTGGTGGGACTAGGCTGTAACATCTGCTGGCATTTGTGAAGGCTTAGTCCATGGCAGTCTGGCTGCACTGGGCCACACAGTACCCATCAGTTTGCGTGAAATATAGGGTTAGGGCAGAACTGATCAGGCAGCTGCATCCACTGGTGTGTGCATTGACCAATACGGACAGCAAACTGAACTTGACCCTACCCTGGTTGACACACATAAAAGTTGAGCCTGAGGTCATCCCAGACAAGGTTTCCTGGGGGACACCCTTGCTAGACCACTGGACTCAGACCCTCACCCTATGAAAATAATCATAGGGTGTGTGGTTTGATCTTGGAGTGTATGTATTAGGACTGGGCTCCTCAGTTGCTGAAGCCTGTGCAGTGGACAGCATATCCAGATGCACATGGCGGTCATGACAGTCAGTTCATCTCGGCCAGCAGGGGGTGCTGCTGCCTCATCAAAGGAGGGAAAGCAGAACAGATTGAACAATTCTCCTGGCCAAGCTTTGCAACATGTTCCTGGATCTGTGGATGCACCGAGATGGACTTTGGCAGCCAAGAGACCTTGAAAAGATTTCTCAACCCTTGAGCAATGAAGCCGACAACATCTCAGAACTATCAAAAACACTCACGTGACACCCTCGAAACACTCTTCCCCACATCAAGGTCTGTAATGCATCATTTAACCATCCCCTATATCAGGGTGCTGATGCACTTTGACAATAATGAGCAGCCCTCTCCCCCTCTTCCTCTGGGGACATAGAAAAAAAAACCCTAAAACATTTGTTTCACCACCTTCCTCCATGTCTGATCCTCCCCACTCTAATCAGAGGCTCACATGGGCATGCATCCAATTATATAAACAATATTAAAAAGAAAATAAAATTTTAACAAAGGAAAGGCGCAAATCAGGAAGTTGTTCAAAAGAAGGTTGTATCTTGCCCACCTTGCTGTAGGATATTCCATCAAAAACAGATGTTATTTCAGCAGGCGTGGACACAGTGACAATAATCGGATGTGAAGACATTAAAGAATCATCCTCTTGTACAGGTAAGACATCTTCATTCAGTATCTGGTCACGCTGGAATGACGGAAGGAACCAAAGGAATACGTTGTTTTTAAATATCAATTTACATTTTAACATTCCAATTATAATAAAACAAGAAAATTAAAGCTCAAATATGGCTCAAATAATTTAAAACAAACAAGAAGACTCCACACGAGTCATAATTTTGCCCTGCTTGATCTGTAGAGTGACCACTGCCTTCTCTTCTCTTTGCGACTCCTTTTCTTATGGTTGACAGGCCAAGAAGACACAGCATTTACAAACTTGTTCCTGCTGCCCCTGAGGGACCTCAGAACACGACAATGATTTTGGCAAGCTCTGACTCAGCCTCTCACCAACAGATTTGTTCTGCGCATCAAGTGAGGTGGTGTGTCAAGCTAGCCAAAACTTGGTGCTCAGTTCTTAATTTGTGTAAATTTGTAATGTAAATGTGTCATGATTAGTTGAAGAAATTAGTTCTAATTATAACCTCTCATTTCAGTCCTAGATTTTCTCATGCAGAGAGAATTTGGAGAAGTACAGCAACCTAGTCAAACTTCTTTGTTCAAAAGCTCAGCCTTGCCACTTTCCAGATATGGAACTTAAGCAGGGTCCCCTCACCATGGAACAAGTGCAATGATGGCAGCTACTTTTTGAAACTATGCACGGATTATGTGCCGACGCGTGTGAAGCACTTGGTATTCCACCAGGCACGGGATGGGAGCCTAACAAACGAATTATTATTTGATTCTTTTTCTTTATTGCATTTAATTTTATAACAACGTTTCATAGGCTCTGGCTTTCCCCCTTCCCCTCCTCTTGCCTTCCCCCCGTGGTGGATTGCTCCACCTTATTGCAGTATTACAGATCAAATCTAGTCTTATTTCTTTCAATGCAAGCATGTGCCTTGCATAGAGTCTAGTTGATTCTTAAGAAATAAAATCTTGAAGTCTAGCTCTTTTAAGTCCCTAGTAATTTAAAAAGAAGCTTTATGGGTCTAACCAAATCAAAATGTTTCTAAAACAAGAGTATGCTGTATCGCTTCACATTTTCCAATTTTGTGGCTTATAATTGACAAGGCTGTATTGTCAAGTGATAACTAATAACCAAGATAACTTTCACTTGGATTTTGATCTTTGTGCCTCCAGGAAGTTTAGGTAAGTAGGAAAAAAAACCCACTATACCATCAATAAATTTGATTATAGTAACTGATTTTGTTGCCAATTGTCTGTGTAATCTTTGTAAGTTATATTACAATTCCTTACCCTCAGATTATTCAAGAGAAAAAGTTGATACTTATCAAAATCTCTTACGTATTTATTGAGCCACAACATTTAAAATTAAGTACTCCTTAAGGTATGAGAAGAGTGTTTGATTCATTTTTGGGTCCTCTCTATTGTTTGCTGAATGAAGAAAAAAATTCAATAGATGAGGGGTTGGTGCTGTAAGGGAACATATCAACCTGCCACCTGCAGTGGTGGCATCTCATATTCGTGCAAACCAGAATGTTCAAATTGCAGCTGCTTCACTTCCGATCCAGCTCCCTGATAATGTGCCTAGGAAAGCAACAGAGGACGGGCCCTGTCCTTAGTATCCCATGTGGGAGGCTCAGATGAAGCTCCTGGCTCCTGGTGTCAGCTTGGTCCACCCCTGCCCATTGTGGCCATTTGAAAAGTAAACCAACTGATGGAAGATCTTTCTCTTTCTCTCCCTCTCTGCAACTCTTTCAGATAGATAGATAGATAGATAGATAGATAGATAGATAGATCCAAGTGTGAACATGTTGTAGTTTGTATTTAAATTTCATGTAAATATCAAGAATCACATTCCAAATTCTTCCAAAATTTACTTGGTATTTTTGAAGCACTTAAATTTGGATATTGGACAATAATACTTTTAAAAAAATATTCATTTATTTGACAGATGGAAGCAAAGAGGGAAAAAGAGATCTTCTATCTACTGATTCTTTTCCCAAATGGCTACAAAAGTCAGGTCAGATCCAAGTCAAAACCAGGAGCCTAGAACTCCATCTAACTCTCCCACATGGATGAGATAAGAACGTGGGCCATCTTCCGTTGCTTTCCCAGGTCATCAACAGTGAGCCCATATAGGAAATGGAGCAGCCAGAACTCGAGCCAGCACTTACATGGAATGCTGGTACTACAGGTGCCAGCTAAGTGTATTGTATTAGCCCTTCGACAATTTTAAAGTATTACATTTTCTTAAAACAGCTTGTTATCAAGTTATCTTGGGAAAATAATGCAGAAAGTAATTGTATATGTCTATGGTTTACTTCCACTATATCATGAAATCATTCATTTCAAGTTGCATGAGTGGTTCTTGCAGGTGATTTTGTTCCCCTGAACATTTGGAGATGGGTAGAGACATTGTTGACTGTCTACTGGGCTGAGAGGGATGCCAGCATTTCATAAGTGGAGAGAAGCCAGGAGCGGTGCACAGCACGCGATGAGGCACAGGACAGCTTTCCACGGAAAAGTGCCAAACTTTAGGGGCTGCCTGGTTAAATTCTTAAAGAAAGCAAGTGTCGCAAATTAGCTTATAACCTTTTATAACAGGCTAAGGAAACTAGAAGGGCTTCAAGGATTCGACTTTTTGTCCAGTAGGGGAAGTGTTCTGCACAGTCAGCAACCTCTTGTTCTTTACTTTCACACACCTCTCTACTTCTACACACGTATTTACTCAGATGTAAAGATTTTCAAAATATTTTTCTGAAAACCACTTGCCTTTTTTCATGCTCATTTGTCAAGTTTTTCTTGGAAGTATCCCCATGTGTTAATCAGATTATAATGCCTGTACAGTCTAAGTATAAATAATTAGCAAACTTCATTTTTTGAAGAAAAAAAAATCTGTAGATAAACTTTATAGGAGCTTTTGTTTCACTCTATGTTAACAGTTGCTATTTGTGATTTTGGGGAGATTTTAAGCTTATGGGCAGGAGAACATTGTCCTTACTGAATACAGCTGGCTCAGAGATGAATTATGTAACTTGCTCAAGGTCAAATTCCTGGCTATCCACCCAAGCAAAGATACATTCAGAAATTAAGTTTGAGTGTAACCAACTTTATGTTCTTATATCTCTTCATCATATTATTTCAGCAACCTGTCTAATGAAACAGACATTTTTCAAAGGATTTGTGCCATATTTTCTTGAGTAGAGCACTGTCATTTTCTATGTTAAATAATTTTTTCTTGCCTTGAGTGACTGTCAAGAGTAGTTACAGGTCATGGCTGTCAGTTTGCCCTCTAGAAACTGGGCAAAAGGTGTGGGCAAGGTCAAGTTTCATGGAAACCAGCTGGCCCTACTCTTTTCATACCTGAATTCCCACCTTGCCACTGCACTCAGCCCCAAACATAGATCCACAGGCTTCCACCTGCTTTACATGAGGAAAATAGAGATTAGGAGTTTCGATATTTAGGGCTTACCATCTGCCAATCTGGTTCTGCATGGGCCACTCCCAGGAACTCAAAGAAAGAAGCAAATCCTTCATTTAGCCACAAGTCTTCCCACCAGTCCATGGTCACAATATTTCCAAACCACTGAAATTATAAGCAATAACATATAAGCTCATTAAATTCTTATCTTTATGTCAGAAATCTAGAAAATTGTAAAACATTTATTTGTCCATGTTAATTTTATTACTGTGACACAGAAGTGATAAGCAAGATGCTAACTATTTAGTTCGACAAAGGCTTTACTTTTCAACGCAGGCATTAAGGCACAGCAGGTTAAGTCACTGCTTCAGACATTCACATCCTATAGTGGAGTGCCTAGCATACAGTCCAGCCTCAGCCTCCAATCCAGGTTCCAATGAATATACCTCAGGGAGTAGATGAAAACTCCAGTTAGGTTCTTGCCACTCACGTGGGAGACCCACGTGCAATTCCTGGCTCCTAGCTTTAGCCTGGCCCAATGCCAGCTGTTGTAGGCATTTGGAAATTGAACCAATGAATGGAAGATCTGGTTCTCTCTGTGTGGGTCTCTGTTACTCTGCATTTCAAATAGACCAATTAAGAATTTAAAAACATATTTATTAATTTGACAGGAAGAGAGACATAAATAGAGAAACAGAGAGAGCTCCCATTCACCATTTCACTTCCCAAACGCCCACAATGGCTGGAGCTGTGTCAGGGCCACGGTCCAGATCTGCCAAGCAGGTGGCAAGAACGCAGGTGCTCGAGCCATTTTCTGCTGCCTTCCAAGATCCACAACAGCAGGAAACTGGAGTCAGTGATTGGAGCTAGGGAATCAATCCAGGTACTTCAATTTGAAACATGGATATCTTAAGTAGTGTCTTAACTGCTAGGTAAAATGCCCATCTCTACAAGAGTGCTATATGCTATTAAATTCTCTTCAATTTAATCCTTTATTTAGATATGAGCTGGGTGGGCGGAGCAGCATTTGGGCATAACAGGTAAAGCTGCTGCCTGCAACACCATCATTACGTCTGGATACCAGTTCAAGTCCCCACTTCACTTTTCATCCAGTCCCCTACTAATAACTTGGAAAAAGCAGCAGAAGATGGTCCAAGTGTTTGTGCCCCTGCCACCCCTGTGGGAGATTCAGATGAAGCTCCTCCTGGCTCTGATCTGGTCCATGGCTGGCCATAGTTCCTGTCTGGGAAGTAAAGCGGCAAATGGAAGCATGCGCACTTTTTTTCTCTCTCTCTGTAAGTCTGACTGAAAATATGCAAGTAAATCCTTTAAAAAAGATATTACTAGGAGTATAAAAAGTTATAGGAAGGCTTCCTGTGCATTTACCAACAGCAGAAAACAATGTGTTTTAATGTGTTTATATGTTTTTAATATGTTTAAAATTTCTTTATTATTAAGTGTTTACTAGGGCTAAGAAAGATTTCCATAAAATTTCCCCAAGTTGTTTAATTCTTATATGCTGTGTTGCAAATCATCTGATTCCTCTGTGGTATTAAGTCACTTTGATATTTGCTTAAATGTTTATTTTCACTTTATTATTTGAAAGGCAGAGAGACAAGACAGAAAGACAAATAAAATTGTTCATCTGTTGGTTCACTCTCTAAACGCCTATAGTATCTGGGGCTGGGCCAAGTTGAAACCAGGAACTTGAAACTCAGTCCAGGTCTTCCACATGGGTAGCAGGTACACAACTACTCAAGCCATTACCTGTGGCTCCTAGGATGTACTTCAGCAGAAAGCAGAAATTAGACACTGACCTGGAATTCAGCTTAAGGATTCCAATATAGGATACGGGCACCCCCTACCACGTCTTTCCAAGTGCCATACCGAATGCTCATCTCTTAAGTCACGTTTCAAAACAAGCTCCTTGGAAGTTAAGCTCTGATACCTGATGTACAAGTTCGTGGGAAACCACAGTGGCCACTCTTTGTTGGTTTGATGAGGCTGATTCGTCTGGGTCGTAAAGCAAGTTGGTTTCCCTGTATGTGATGAGACCCCAGTTCTCCATAGCACCAGTGCCGAAGTCTGGAATAGCAATTTGATCTAGGGAAAAAGCAAGAGTCCAGTAAGACACACATTCTTTCCATTTGTTCACAGCAGCTCTCACCAAATTAAGTTCTTCAAGTGAGTGTGTTTTTTTTTTTAAGTTAAAAATAATTCCTGAGAGTCAAAAACAGTAATCATTTGTGCAAACATTTCAGTCCTAATGCACTCAGAATTTCCATGGTGTTCTTCCTGTTGGCTCTAAACTTCAGCATTTCCTTTTTTCCAAGTGGGATGCTCACGGTAATATTCTGTTGGCTTCTACTACTTTTTGCCTTTTGTCTGTGTGTCTGGTACATTTTTCTAACTGCCATAATTTTCATATTTAACTTTTGGAGTATAATAAACACAGAAGCCAGTGCTAAGGAGTCTAAGAAGAGTCCATGCTTCCTGAAAAGAATTAAAATGTACATAATCGAGAATAAAAAAAAATGAGTGGGAAGTTGAGAAAAACTAATGGGGTGTTCACTTTTCAGGTTGTCTTGGGCAGTACCAAGTAAGATAAAGCGGGGGAAGGCCTTTAAAATTATGTGCTTAAGACTTTACCATATGTTGATTGAATTTCTACAAAAAGTTACCTCTCTATCTCCTCTCACATTTGTCAAGCAATCAAAAAAGTGGAACAGCTTCCATTAGTAAGAAAACACAGCAACTACAAGCCTGTTTATTGGCACCACTGTCCTCACGCACAGACTTTGGTTTCACAACGATGATTCGCTGGAATAAGAGCAGAAACAGAGGAGAGAAAAGGAAGCCAGTAGGCAGCTGCTTTGGCTTTTTCTATTAATTTCATCCCTACAAATATTTCCATGGGTGCTCCATTGAAAGTTTTGCTGATACCACTCAAATTTATTGATAAAATATTTCTGCCATTGAGGAAAGCTTCACTCCCATACCATTTTGATTACAGCTCCATTTCCGGTTGTTGCTTTTTTTTTTTTTTAAAGATTTATTTATTTCTCTTGGAAAGTCAGATATACAAAGAGGAGGAGAGACAGAGAGCAAGATCCTCAGTCTGCTGACTCAACCTTCACGGGACCATAATGGCTGGTGCTGCTGAGCAGATCTGAAGCCAGGAGCCAGGAAGTTCCTTCAGGTCTCCCACACAGGTGCAGGGTCCCAAGGCTCTGAACCATCCTTAACTGCCTTCCCAGGCCACAGGAAGAAAGCTGGATGGGAAGTGGGGCTGCTGGGACTCAAACTGGCACCCATATGGGGTCCCGGCACCTGCAAGGTGAGGACATTAACTGCTAGGCTACTGCACCAGGCCCATCCATTTTAGTTTAAAAAAAAAAGTCTCCCTCTCATTCTCATACCAAAAGAAAAAAAAAAGTTCTCAAAGGAGCACCCGTGTTTTATTTTAACTGCTGGATAATTTAGAATTACTCTCGTGCAACAACGGAAAGATTGGAAGCACATGGGACTCTTACAACATCATTTAGCCCTGTTAGCTTCCAACTCTCTGATAAAATAAGGACAATGGGAGCTCTGGGGATGGGTACTGATTTTGAAATCAACTGATCTAGGTTGCCATTTCTGGCCCTGTCACTGGTAAGCTCTGTATAGGTTTATTGTATTTGGAAACCAAAGGTAATAGGTTTATCAGATAAAAACAGGGAAGCACATTATTCTTAGAAGAATTCAGAATGGATTTTTTTAGTATTGAGTCAGCAAAAAGCACATATTGCATTCATAAAATAAAAGCTCTTGGGGCTTATACCATTAACTGATGGTGAAACATTGGAATAAAGGAGGTTAAAAAATAAGAGCAATATTAAAGCTAGAAAATTTTTTAAAAGTGGATACTTACCTAATTTAGGAAGAGCATAATTCACACCAAAGTATTCCTCAAAATAATCAAAAATAATCTTGGTCACATTTGCAGCATATTCAGCTGTGTGATTTTGCTCTGGCTGGACATAAATGTTGAGCTATTAAAACAGAAAAAAGCCAAGGGAAATTACTCATTTGACAAAACACAAAACCTATGGTTTACAAGATAACTGAAAAAGAGTTGATCTTGGAGTCAGAGAAGCCTAATTTGAATCTTTGTTCTGCTGCATATAAGGGCACTCTAAAATTTTGTGCAAAATTCCATTGAAATATAATGTAAATCTTTCATGGACTGTTTTCTTTTAAATATTGATTTATTGCTTTGAAAGGCAGTATTACAGAGAGAAAGAGGAAGATAGAAAGAGAGAGGAAAGGTATCTTCCATCCACTGGTTTACTTTCCAATTGGTTGCAATAGTTGGAGCTGGGCCAGCCCAGAGTCAGGAGCCAGAAGATTCTTGAGGCTCTCACATGTGGGTGCAGGGACCAAAGCACGTGGATCATGCTTCACTGCTTTCCGAAATGCATTAGCAAGAAGCTCAATCAGAAGTGGAACAGCCAGTACTGCAACCAGCATCCATATGAGATGCCAGCATTGCAGGTGATGTCTCTACCTGCCACATCGCAATGTCAGCCCCTCTCATGAACATTTCAAAGCACCCTCATGGTTGCTGTGTGGTCTCAGACTTGTGTAAAAGAACAATAAAATTACATAATTTATTGGGTAATCTTAATGATTAGAAATAATATAAGGCACAATAATTTTGGTGCAGCATCCAGACATTTTAAAAAATCGCTTTCTGTTAAAATATATATGTTGTCTTTTTTTTTAAGGATTTATTTATTTTTATTGGAAAGGCAGATACAGAGAGAGAAGAACAGATAGAGAGAAAGGTCTTCCATTTCCCAAGTGGCTGTAATAGCTAGAGCTGAGCTGATCCGAAGCCAGGAGCCAGGAGCTTCTTCCTGCTTTCCCAGACCACCAGCAGGATGCTGGATAGGAAGTGGAGCAGCCAAGATACGAACTGGTGCCCATATGGGATCCCGGTGGATGCAAGGTAAGGATTTACCCCCAGGCTATCATACCAGGCCCAATACATTGCCTTCTTAATACGTATGAATCTATATAGCTATCCCTTTCTCTACCTCCTTCCTCTCGCGCTCTCTTCTCTCAGCCTCTGTGCATGTGTGTCATGTGTGGAGTATGTCTGTGAGGAAGTAACCATTAAATACACGCATTTCATTGGTGCCATTCTTTCCAGCTCTTCCAAATGCCCTTTTGTGATTTCAGCTCTTCTATTCCTACAGCCTGTATTGTAGTAATGCAAAGTTTTCCTTAAGTGATCATCTTGGTAAATTGCATCAATTCACCAAGCCACTAGGGTACTATTTTGTGTCTTGATGACATAATTTAAAATCAAACCGAGTATATACTTTCTCAAAACTTTAAGCATGTGGGATTTCACAAAATTAGCAATAATCCTTTCAAACATAATAGTATGTAAACAGATGTGATTGTTGGGCACTGGAGGGTATACACACACACACTTCTCAGTATAGCAAAGAGGAAAATGCACTTCAAACACCCAGTAATGTTTTGTGTGAAGTTCAGATGAAACATACTCCCGAGGAGTCATTCATAATCCTTGAAGCAGATCAGAGACACAATCATCTAAGAAGTTCAAGATCGTCCTCCCAAGCACCATGTGACCCAAGATTTAAAAAAAGGAAAAAAGGCAATGATACTTATTATTCTCAGAGCCTGGTTAGTTCTGCTACTCAGTTAAATGCACATCATAGAAATGAAGAAAAGTATGCTATACAAAGGCCATACTCCTGAAGACAGCATCCCTTCAATCAGCAGCGCAGATTCACTGCTTTCATGTCCACTGAGTGACTGACATTCTGAGCTTCCCTGCAGCAATAACGATGCGCTTTGAAGACATACAATCTACTCACTTAGCATATCTACCTTCTCTGAGTTGCTTTTGGCTTGTTCATGGCTGGGAGTGATGATGCCTTGCCTTACTGCCCTCCTGCCCTCTGGGTGAATCCTGACATACATTTTCCAAGATGTAAAACAGAGGATCCAGTTGATGGACATTGGACACAACAAAAGTAACCTACCATATGAGATCAAAATGTTCACTTTCTTCCAGAGTTGCCATGCCATAAACTCAGTCTCGGGGATTTTTCAGGAACTAAATGATATGTTCAAACTTCCTTTGAGTGTCTCCCAAATCTGCTTTCTATCAATCAGACTTCAGCAAGGGAAGTTTCTCTTGACTCACTCCACTGCTGCCTACATACTCTACTCTTGCACTGCACCTAAGTCTAAGAGACGCAAGAGGGCTAAGACGGAGGAAGCATAGGTAACTGAGTACCCAAAGCAATGGGAAAGACAAAGACTCAGTGGAGATTTTCCTACTAATACTTTCTCCTCATGCCTGTAAAGGACCTCCCTTTTTAATACAACATGCTTATGAGACAATATAACATGTTTATTCTTATTCCTTATTTCTGCTGGTGATAGCAATGGAAATATGGGCTCTTTCAACAAGATTGGTGTTACTGTGAATTCAGCCAACATAAAGCAACCCTATCTTCTTCTGCCTCTGAGAAACAGATGCTCAAGAAGTATGCTCTGTCTTTGCAGTACAGCAGTCTGTAAATCACCTGTGATCCACAACCCTAACTTGGGAGGGTCATAGAGCTATCACGTCTAATTTCATCTACTGAGCAAAGCACTGGCAGAATATAGAGCTACTGTCCAGTAATTTTGTAATGTAATTAGCTAAAGCATGTCTCTGAGTGTGTCCTATCATATGCCATAAATATAATATAAACATAAAAGTATGTTTACATTACTGACTCTGCCAACATGCCAATGTCATTTGTTGTTTGAAGTTCCAAAGTAGTTTATGTGGCAGTAACATCTGTTTGAAACAAGCATGTTTGTAATGTGCGATTTTGTGGGGTTAGTTTGTTAAAAAAAAAAAAAAAACAACTTCTAGAGCAAGTGTTCAGCATAGTATTTTAGATGCTGCTAGAGACACCAGCATTTCTTACTGGAGTGGCAAGGTTCAAAAACTGGCTGCATTCCCAATTCAAGCTTCCTGCTCAGGGATACCCTGGGAGGCCGTAGATGATGATTCCAGTATTTGGATTCCTGGCACCCTCACAGAAGGCCTGGATTGGATTATAGGTTCTTGGTTTTGCTTTGGTCCAGCTCTGGCTGTTGAGGGCATGTGGGATATGGTAAGTAGGTAGGAGATCGGCATCTATGGCCCTCTCCCCTCTGCCAGTGTGCTCACTCCCCCTCTGCTGTACCTGCCAGCCTCTCAACCCCATTCCCCACACACGTCCACCTGCACTGCTTCTTGTTTTTCCATGCTTGGCAGGGGAGATGAGCGCCTTATAACCAGCTGAGTCTCAGCTCTCCTTTCCATGGCAGAGTTTAGTAAATTAGCCCTCAATGGTCACCATTTTAGAACATTTTTCTAGTTTATGTGCTTGCTTTACTGAGATTTTTTTTAAAAGCACACAGCTAGCCACAATGAAATAACATGGAGCAACTCCCTAAGAATCCATAACTCTATTTTCTGTTTCTTCTAGAAGAGTTATACATGCCTTAACTTTAATAGCCTAATAGAGTTTAAACACAAGATTTAGATACAAATTTTATAACTTTATCTGTGAACATGAAGCTTGTAGGTCTTTAAGAGCTTAATATGCATATATTTACATCTTAGAGACAGCAAGTTCTCTAAGCAATGGATAAAACACCATTAGCAACTGTGAACCATATCTCGCAGCACTGGACCTATTGAGTCTGTATTCAGCGGATTATTCTAGGAGGTGTAATACATCTGTTTCAGCATTTCTGTTTCTGTTTCTTTTTCTTTATCACATTGTAACTTCTAATATAAAGGGGACTTTTGAACTTCTTATTTACCTAAAAGGCACAGAGACAGACATGTAGACAGACAGGAGAGTGAGAGTTCTATCCGCTGGTTCACTCCCCAGATGCTTGCAAAGGCTGTCAGGCAGGCTGAAGCTCAGAATTCCCCTGTAGATGGCAGAAACCTAATTGTTTGAGCCATCATGATTGCCTCCCAGGGTCTGCAATTATAGGAAGCTAAAGGAAGGAGGCAGAAATAGGTAAAAATCCCCAGGCCTCCAATATGGGACATCTTAATGAATGGCTGACCATCAAGTTAAATGTCCCTCCGGGGCTCTTGATATGATCCTTTCCATTCAAGTGTCCCCAGGAGCTTGAGAGGTGGTCCGTTAAGTCCATGAGAACTTATTCCTAATTGGTTGCTGCCACTCCCTTTGTGTATTACCTTGCTACATTTTATATTCCTTGACTATCACGTCTAGATCCACCAGATCAACTTCCCTTAGAAAAACTCAGTGAGGTCATGTATTGTCTTTTCTTCCCATGATTATTTCTGCATATTCCCAAACCAAAGTTATAATGCTCAGCAATGCAATTATTGTGATTACTTATTAGCCTTATTTAACACTTAAAATTTTTCAGATAATATGGTCTTTCCTGAAATTCTAGTCTAATCTTGAGAAGATGTCACATACACACAACAGAGGTGCATTCTGGAAAACACCTGACCATGTTCCTTCAAAAATGTCAGAATCACAAGATCTAATGAAGAGAAAATGTCACAGATGAGAGGAAATTAGGAAAATGTCACAACTGAGCACAAAATAGCTGTATCATCTGTTGATTCTTGGAAGAGGAAAACATATCAGCCAAAAAACTGGTGAAATCCAGGCTTGTTGTGTAGTTTATAATTTGTGTAGATTTTAGTTCTAATGGATTCATGATAAATGATCATACAAAATGTTAAGATTTGTGGCAAGTGCCAGGACTGGGGTCGGGCCATGCCAGGCTGGACAATATCACCTAAAGACATGGGCAAGATCCAGGGCTGAGAGAAGACCTGGTAGGGAGATTTTGGGGACTCTCCTGCTAAGCCTCAGTTCCTGCTGCTGAGCACAAGAGCTGGGGCTGGGAGCATGCCACATGGGGCAATAGCTGCAGCACCCATTGGCATATCTTTGCAGCAATTATCTAGGTC